AGAAAACAAAGCTTTTGACATGTCAAGATGGGCAACTTTCGCGGCATTCGATGTCATCAGCTTGGTCGGTTTCGGAGAAGCTTTTGGTTTCGTGGATACTGCTAGTGATGTTGATGACTTGATTGAGGAACTTCACAAGGGTTTCTTCTATTTTGGTATTGTTGGCAGATTGTATCCTTTCGTTGAACTCATCAAGAGAACTTGGTTTGGCCGATTCCTTGTCTCTAGCGAAAAGGACAAGGGAGGAATGGGTTTCTTGATCAGATGGACAAACCGAATCATGAAAGCTAGACAGAAGGAACTTGCTGAAGGAAAGGACAACGGCAGAGTTGATCTCTTGCAATCGTATGGTACTCTCCCTTCCATGTTTTGACAAAGGCTAACGAATCAGATTCTATGAGGCCCGTGATGCCCAAGGACAGCCACTCACCGATGATCATATCCGAGCTGAATGTATGCTTTTGTTCACAGCCGGTGCCGATACCACCGGAACAACCATGGGTGCAATGATGGCATATCTTCTTTCCAACCCAACTGTCTACGCCAAAATGGTGGCTGAGATTGACGCTGGTTTCAACAGTGGTGTTCTCTCTTCCCCCGTTCCAGCTGCCTCAGAAGTCTCCAAGAATTGTCCATACTACGTTGCCTGTGTCAAAGAGTCCCTGCGCTTATGTCCTTCGGCTCCTAACATCTTCCCGCGTCTTGTCCAGGCAGACCATGCTCCTCTAGTGATTGATGGGAAGACCATCCCAGTCGGAACTGAAGTCACTAGCACTGCCTACATGGCAAACCGTGATCCGGCAGTTTATGGAAAGGATGCTGAAGAATTTAGACCCGAGAGATGGTTGGAGAATGATGGAGAAGCTGGTAAAGTTTTCGATAAATATCTGGCTACCTTCGGATATGGTACTCGCAGTTGTTTGGGTAAAGACCTTGCAATGATTGAATTGATGAAGACTCCTTTGATGGTAAGTGATCCCGATTTCTGACGCGCTGGCTACTTGTCAGGGTCGTTACTAACAGATTTCAGTTTTTCCGCGCATTTAACCCACGCTTATGTCTCCCAAGCAAGGAAACCCCATCCCCCAAACGTATTTTGGTCGGCGCAATGTTCTATTGGGATGATATTTGGATGAAGCTTGAGAAGAGAGATATTCCTGGGTTTTCTTGGTAAGATTAGTTTGGATGGATAGAAATTACAAGGGTCACATATAAGCTTTCAAATGTCAAGCTAAGCTTAAAATTGCAAACATGGATTGGTGTGTATAAAATCTGTATGCAGGCCCCTGAGCCCTGCAGCCTCAGTCGTAATATAATATGACTCAATTACTTCGTATATCAACGTATACATTGCAATCCTTGTGAAATCCCACGTTTTGTGACTGCCACACCATTTTAAGAAGAATACTACCCACATCACCAAAAACGTGCTCGCAACGTTGGATCTTCATTTTGGTGACACAATGCAGGTATGGTTCATGCAACGGCGATGCTACATGAACTTTTTGACATGCCAAGTATATGATAAAATGGGCTTTAGGATTACGGGCAACTGGTTACACAAAAGCTTCAGATACATACTAGATAGACGATCAACGGTCCTTCAAGCCATACCCGGCAGTCATCATTGATGGAACGGTTGGAAGCACGCCACCCTTTGATTATACCAGAGGACCCAACCTACCAAGGTATCGTATTACCCGTTCTTAAATATCAGCACAGAAAAACTCGTATCACTCGAATCCTTCTAGAACATCAGCCTACCAACGCCAAGTAAAATCACCAAGCGCTCCACAAAAGACAGCCCGATTATTCACCAAAAGACCAACATCCATCTTGAGACTTGTGCTGCAATTCACATGGGGTGCGTGAAAGCACAAGCCGTGGGGAAATATGCGGGTCGGAAGCACGGGACGCGAGCATAAGTAGTACTCGGGTTCCAACGGCTTGGCGCTCGCTTAGCCATCTGGATACCCCTGGGTGGGTTTTATGTATGGCGTGACTTATACTCGAGTACGTACATGTAAGATTTATTACATATTAAAATATGGGGTGGAGGGAAATTTATTCAACATTTTTGTGATTTACATAATTTGAGATACAGTACATGTAAATTTATCAATTGAGAAATACTGTTGTGATTTGAATGTGTTTTGTTGATGAACTTTCAATTTTCGACAGAGTAATTTCCGAGAACTAGGATGTAGTGTCGAGAGGGGTTAGCGTAGCATCAAGGGGTAAGATCTGGGGTAGCATCGTGGAGTTGATTTTTTGGATAGATCGAAAATCCCACCTAATTGAGATTTCCCGCATTATCGTTTTAAAAGCTAGGGGTGATTGGAATGTTATGATGTACACGTTAATTCTTGACGCGTTTTCTACAGAATTCGACAGACTTTTCATTCTTAGAAGTTAACACTCTTTCACGATACAGTTATTTCTGTCGTTGGCTCCTTCTTTCATTAACTTCAGTATCACTTGCCGAACGCATGATAGTAGCGCCATTGGCAATTTCAGATTTAATCTTCCTTCCGGATTTTCATTCGTTACTGCGGGGAAAAATTGCGCGTCTTAATCAATCCTGTTCCTTCAACATTCGATACCTACAGCTGTTTGAAGTACCTAGATTCCAAACAACCAATCTACAACCATGCTGTGGGAACGAGCTACTGCGTAGGTCGTATCGTTAAACCCCAGCTGCCAGAAAATGTGCTGATGTTTGAATAGGACCGTCGCCGGACTTTTTTCTTCAGTCAAGGGTCTTACCGTGACACAGCCCAAATTATCTGCACGTGTAGCAGGAACAATTGACAACTATCTTACATTCCAAAGCCCGATCGCTTTCCAGAGTATCTTGAATAACATCGGTCCCGATGGCTCGAAGGCTCCTAATGCAGATGCCGGAGTTGTTATTGCTAGCCCAAGCACAGTTGATCCTGATTGTGAGTCAATCGTACTCTAAAGATTTGGCAGGCGAGACTGACACTGATTAGACTTTTACACATGGACTCGTGACTCGGCTTTGACTTTCAAATATCTAATCGATACTGGTAATTCCAGTTTGCAAACTCTTATTGAAGATTATGTTATTGCTCAAGCAAAGCTTCAAACAGTCGACAATCTTTCAGGAAATTTTGAGACGGGGGCAGGTTTGGCAGAACCAAAATATTACACCAATGAGACTGCCTTCTTGGGAGACTGGGGACGTCCTCAACGTGATGGACCTGCCTTACGTGCGACTGCCCTAATGACCTTTGGAAATGATCGTCTCGCTTTGGGACAAAATGCCACTGTCAAGGATATCATCTGGCCCATCGTCCAGAACGACTTAGCCTATGTTGCCCAGTACTGGAACTTATCCGGCTTTGATCTTTGGGAAGAGATTAATGGATCGTCTTTTTTCACTACTGCAGTTCAACATCGAGCATTGGTGGAAGGAGCAAAATTTGCCACTGCTCTTGGAGAATCATGTCCAAACTGCGAGGCACAAGCCTCTGAGATTCTGTGCATGCTACAAAATTATTGGAATGGTGGCAGCATTGATTCAAACATCCAGGTACAATCTACCGCCTATGATCGTTCCGGATTGGACTGCAATTCCATTTTGACTTCAATACACACCTTTGATCCGGACCCAGCGGTGGGGTGTAACTCGAAAACTTTCCAGCCTTGCTCCGACCGCGCTCTCGCGAATCACAAAGTACTAGTCGATTCCTTCCGTTCTATCTATACCATCAACTCCAATGCCTCAACAGGCCAAGCTGCAGCCATTGGTCGTTATGCAGAGGACGTCTATCAAGGAGGAAATCCCTGGTATATCTGCACATACGCAGCAGCAGAACAACTCTACGATGCTCTGTGGACATACGATAGCATCAAAAGCATCACCGTAACCGACATCAGTCAGCCCTTCTTCACAGACCTAGTTCCAGGAGTAGAGAAAGGTACATTCGCAAGTGATTCGACCCAATACACGGATATCGTCAAGGCCATGCAAGATTATGCAGATGGCTTTGTGGCGATCGCCGAAAAATATACCCCGCAAGATGGAGCCCTAGCAGAGCAATTCTCCCGTGAAAATGGCACAGCACTTAGTGCAGTAGATCTTACGTGGTCGTATGCGTCTTTCCTCACGATGCAAAGAGCTAGAGAGGGAAGATTCGGAAGCAGCTGGGGTGCAGCAAGTGCGCTTGCGAAAGGAGTCCCGGATAAGTGCGAGGGTGGCGGAGTCAAGGGAACATTTTCGAAACCGTCTGTGTCGGCTTTTCCTAAGAATGAAGAAGGTACTTTTGGGGGAAATAGCAGCTCGATGACTAGTGGATCGGGATCTGGTACTGCAACGGGAACGGGAACGGCGACGGGTAGTGCAGCAACGGAGACGAAGTCGAAGAGTGCTGGGAATAGACTTGTGCCGTTGGGATTTCTCCGGTTTTAGGGCTAGGCTAGGATCTTCTGAGATCTGGATGGAGGAAGGAAAGGAAAGGAAAGGGTTTCTCGTATTCTTGGCAAATATCTCCGCAGAAGTGTTGTGCAGTATTGTTCTGATGGTAGTGGCTTGGGACGTACACTTTTTTCATGATTAAGGTAGTTCTTAGGTATTGATGTATCGACTACTGACGAGAAGTGTGTTGTTTGGCCCGCTCACCTCCAACTAATATTGGCACCGAGCTTTCTACTTCTTCAATTAATACATTTCATTTCGTTGCCCTTTCATTTTCTTGATATTAATATTAGTATCACATCTAATAGTTGATAATCAGTCCGAATTCCGCCGCCCTGTATGGTGCGGTGCTATGCGGAATCCTAATTAGGGCTTTTTACAGTAGGTCAGCAACATATACTAAGCTTATGAGTATAAGCTTTTGATAATACATAATACATACTGTACAACTAACTATTTGGACACGTTGGGGTAGTATTAGTCGAGTACATGTGCTTTATTTGATGTTTTGAATGATGATTAAAACTGACACTGGGACTAGGACTGAAACTGAAACTGGAACTGGAATTGGGCTTGGAGTTGTAGATATGAGGCTCACAAGTTGTGTGCAGGACTATGATATGATGATTTGATGTTATGATGTTATGATGTTATGATGTTATGATGTTATGATGTTATGATGTTATGATGTTATGGTATTATGGCTTGAGTCGCCTGGTGGCTAATGGCTCAGGAAATATATTGAGAAAACTTATAATTGCGATTGTGATTAATCTAGTTGATGTTAATACGATGTGATGTGATATAATATGATAGATTTGCTTCGGAGTGGCGATTCTGAAAATGAAGAGGAGTGCTTGAGGTTATACGTATGAGGTTCTCCGCGGAGGGAAAAGTATGTGTTTTGATAGGAGGAATTGGGGGATTAGGGACATGATTAAACTAGGAAAATCTGATATGATGGTGAGTTTTGAGAGGAGGAATCATAGGTTGAATTGAGATGCTTTTGAAATGTTGGGAATATAAAGACTGTTGCTATACACCCGAGGGAGGAAAGATATACGATGGGCTAAGAGGTCAACTAAACGATATTAGCAAACTTGAGAAGGAAGAGTAGTTACATGTACATGCATTTTGTGGATTGCGGTGAACGCATAGCTACCCAGAAGCTTGTTGTGACGCCGCTACGCTTCCAAAGAAATATAAGAACATCCTTTCTAATGGGATATTAATTGTCAAATTCTTGTGTGGATCAAAGCTCAATACATTAGTTACTATTCTGCTCTGAAGTTGATTCTCCGTATAAATGTACCACCTCTCCACGAGAATACCTTATGCAGACTTAATCAACTCTGTCCTACTTGAGAGGGAATGTAGATATTTCACAACCTCTATCCAGTCTTTGGGTGGTTAGAAACATTGGAGGAGAACCCCTAGACATTTTGAAAGTTTTGTTGCATATCTGCGAAAGCAGTGTGCACTAAATAATTTAGTATAGTAATTTACTCTTATGCCACAAAAATGATACATATTTTACTCTCATGCCACTTGTTAGATTCTATACTAGAATCTATGATAGAATCTATAGTTGGTTAAGGGCAGGAAGCGGGGTGGAGCGGCTTTCTTGTATTTTACAAGGAAGTTTAGTAGTTTTTAGAGTGGGTGATGGTGATGGTGCGGTATGGGGGAGTTGGGTGGTGGGGAGATGATTTTGTTATATGATATGAAAAAGAGGAGAGGGGTGGGAGAGGGGGTGCGCGGTAGAATCTATGGAAGAAGGGTAGATGTGGTATCAGGGTAGAATCTATGATATAGAATCTAATTATTCAAGGATAGATTCTAAAAGGCATGAAAGTAAAATGAATTCAATTTTTGTGGTATGAAAATAATTTGCCTAGTTTAGTATTTGTAGTGATTCAGAGACAGCTAGCAGTTGCGAAGCAAACCAAGTATGTAATGCTTCGTTCAGGCCGATCATAAAGAGTTAGTCTCGCTTGGCAAGTGCTCGATATCTCGAATAGTCTGAAACGAAATTCATTCTATTGCAAGTGAAGAGTGCTCAAGATCGCACTTGATGTTATTTTATGCGGATAATCTACTATTAGTGCAGTCACTGCATATAACAGAAGGGAGTAGTGCGAGAGACGAGATGAGACCGATATTCATTCTAATCGACCTATGAAAAAACTGGAAGCAGGCCGCCATGGAAGTCTAGAAGCTCCCAGTTCTATCCACTAAGACGACAATTGATCCTCCCCAAAAGAACTATCTAAGCACAACTCATCATCGACGATGGTTGTTTGCTTCAACATTGCCCCTTTCAGAACACATTCTTCTTCCCACTGTACGCCGAGCTGCATTCTCGCCGCCAAACACTTTTTTCCACAATAACTCGGCATCCCCTGTGTGCCTTGATACCCCTCGGGCAAATATAAACTCTCTTTGTCAACCACTTAGGCCACAATAATGCATCGAATGAGAGTTGACTTATACAAGTTGTTCAGTTAGTTGTTCAGTGTTCAAGTCGTTCAATACTCGAGTAACCTTATACATTCAGCTGGCTGAGTCAGCCGGCCAGCATAACGTGACCTTAACTAGCCAGCTAAACTTTTTATCGAAATTAATAAATTATAAAGTTTTAATTCAATCAATATAACTTCAAATTGAATAAATTTTGTAGCAAATTGTTATTATCAATTAATAACTTTATTAATTTAATTAATATAAATTTCATTCAAATAAATCGAAACTAATTTGATGGAATTTCTATGAATTAAATACTAAAAAATCGTATTTAAGATAAATTTGATGAGATCAAAAAATCACGTTTTGGAAGCTAGTTATGAATTTATTGACCGCTTTCCGGAGATGCATTCAGCTGGGTCAGCCAGTCTGCATATTCACATGCCAAACTTCACTCTAAACAACAATCTCCACAACTTCCCCATCCCCCATCCCCCATCCCCCACGATTTCATTACATTACATTACCGGTACAACATTACAACGTTACTTAAAGAAGCTGGGGATTATATCAGCCTCGGTCTTGTTGTCATTTGAATCATTCATATGCATATGCCTCCTTTGGATCTTCCATAAGCCAACAGCTTTAACCATGATTTGAAAGAACAAGAGCTTCAATCGTTATACAATCTCTCCTCTCCTTCGTTTCTGTGTTTATCTTCGAATTCTTACTATCCAACAAGTAAAATCTCACTTCGAAATTACTTCATTTCATATTCACATGCCTTTTCCGAAGTTAATCATCTTGCGATTGTGTTTTCCCATCCTCCTTTGAGCCCCGTGAGACGAATTCTTCCTGATATCAACAATTCTTTGTTCTTACTGGACATCTTCTCTTTTGTATAATACAATATAACTTTAATCAAGATGATAGGTATATTCTACTACCCATATTCTGTCCTGTTCACTCACTGACGAGTTTGGCAGATCATGTTCTAGGGCGACCTTCTGTACAATTTCGCAAGATACAAGTTTTGGCTGTAGTTTCTTTCTGGTCGTTTTACCTGTTCAGGTAACACTCCTCTGTCACTCTATCGTCATTTCAATAACTAACATAACTCGAAGAGGGAACAGAGATGGACCACCAACAATCCGGAAACTATCCCGCACACTCTCGAAATACCTTACGCCATGGCAAACCCTCGTCATAACTCTCCTTTACCTCTACATTGCACGAAACCTCGGAAAACTAGTTGGGTTGGAATGTCCGGAGCCTTTGGCAAATCTATACACAAGATCTTATTTTCGAGCAACATGGGTCACTACAGCGATGGATGCGGGGTTCTGGAGTGCCATGCGTATAAGACGGAAATGGATACGTGATTTGGCTGGGATGGTATTTACGTTTTATTATTTGATTGCTGCTGAGCAAGCTGATGAAAAGGTACGAAAGGTACGAGGGATGTTGACGGTGGATCATTTGAGGGTTAGTTGGAATAAAGGGACGACTCCATACTTGGGATTTTTGTCCAATTTATTACGACCGAGATTCATGAGATATCCACCGAGAGCTATACGAATTCCCAGACCTTCGAGTAGTGATTACAAAGAACCAGTCAATGGATGGTTGTTCTTCGATGGGCCACTCTCGGCCTTGAAAAATCATACAAAGATTGTTTTGGATATACCTGGTGGAGGATATGTAGCAATGGATCCAAGAACGAATGACGATAAATTATTTGCATGGGCAGGAAAGACTGGATTACCGGTTTTGAGTTTGGACTACAAAAAAGCACCCGAATTTCCATACCCCTACGCATTGAATGAATGCTACGATGTCTACAGCACGATAATCGCTAGTCGAGGTCGTTGCGTGGGCTTATCTGGAGATGTGGTTCCAAAAGTCGTCATTACTGGAGATAGTGCTGGTGGAAACCTAGCTGCTAGCACTACATTAATGATCATTGAATCTGGATCAACAGATACTCGACAATATTTGGGACAGGGAGCACTTCCAATCCCAGATGGTCTGGTTCTCATTTATCCCGGATTAGATATGAACATTGGGAATTGGATGAGCGACGAACAGATGAGTTTAATCAAAGATAGGAAGTATAGGAAGACGAATAAGGGTATTCTTCAGAGAAAGAGTATGCAGTATACTTTGGCAGCGGGAACACCACATCAGAGTGAAGACGAGGATGAAAGTCCAATGAAGTTGCCTTCGCCATCACTGAACACGGAAGAAAGTACAGAAAGCTCTCCCGAAACACCATCGGGAATTACTCTACCATCTCCTCAATATAGCACTGCCGCTCCTACCATTCTTTCTCCGAAGTTAACAAGGACCCCCGCAAATGTTCAACCGACCACCTCGTCAACATCTCACCATCCCGCCCCTCTGAGCACTCGTCTTGCTATGTCATCAATGATCTCATACTTCAACGACCGTATCCTCTCCCCGGAAATGATGCGCGCCATGATCATTCTCTACATAGGTCCTCACAATCGTCCTGACTTTTCAACTGATTATCTTTTATCTCCGATACTTGCACCTGATTCATTGTTAGCTCGATTCCCCAAAACATATTTCATTACAGGAGAACGAGATCCGCTGGTAGATGATACGGTTATCTTTGCCGGAAGACTAAGGAGATGTCAAGGAGAGGATGCAGCGGAAGTCATGTTAATTCCGGGTATAAGTCATGGCTTCTTGCAATTTGTTGGAATCTTCCCAGAAGGATGGAAATATATTTTCCAATGTGGAAAATGGATACAAGAAATTTTCGATGATTCCGAACAGAGAGAACTGTCCAAAGCAAACGGAAAAGAAAAACATCACAGAAGGACTAGAACGGAAAGTTCGGGGGATGAAGATATGGGGCTGGAGATGGGAATGAGTCTTAGTGGGAAAGGAAAGGGGCCTGGGGATATCAACGGGAATGGTGAGGTAAGGAGAAGAAAAGAAAAACTTCTGAGAGAAGAGATTGGGAGGGGTAGTGGTAGTGGGGAAAGAGGAAGAACGAGGCTAAGAGGTGGAATCAAGAGACAGAAGAGTATGGTGAGTTTGGCAAGTGAGGATGATCTTTTGGGAAGGAGAATGTTGGGTTTGGTGGGAGGATTGACAGGGAGGGGTGATGATGGGTGGGCTGATGAATGAATAGCGGGTTTATGTATGTATGTAGGGTAACCTTATGGTAAGGATTGGAATATACGAAGCGTCTACAAACAATTTTAATGTGCATACTCAGTACATGATATTATCACAAGACCAGACTAGAACTCATAGCTTAAGTAAGACTTGTCCTATAAATGAATATCATATTCACAAGCTGCAAATTCAAAGGTACTAGTGTACTAGCTAGTAGTTTACTAGTACGACCCCCAAACCTCGCCTAAACTACTGAGTAGTAGATACAGTACGAGTAAGTGCTAACATAGCTAACGTCAGTTCAGGCAGGTTCAGGTTCAGGTTCGGAAGAGTTTGGAGTGATAAATCAAGATGGATTTACTCGAGTAGTACGATACGATACGATACGATCTCTAAACTTTCTTTGAAATCTCCATACACACACACAGGAATATTGGTACTGGTACTGGTACTGGTGATGGTAATGGTAATGGTAATAGTACCAAGCAGTGAGTAAGTGAGTGATCTGGGACTTTGTATCTGTATCTGAATATGAAACTAAACCTGATCTAACCATAACCATGACCATGACCATAAATAACTATCGAGGTATGTACCGCTCGCTCGCTCTCGCACTCCCACTTCCTTTTTTAAATATCAATCTATCCCATCCTATCCACGCATTTTCTATTCATCTTTCATTTCATTTCATTTCTTTTTTAAACTCCATCGCGATCATCAACCAACCAACTCCCCACCCCACCCCATCCCATTTTCTCAATCCCCCATTATTCACCATGTTCACCTTCAACTCTACTCAAGCATTCGACTAAGCATTCGACTCCCCACTAACCTCACTCTTCCCACTCTTAACCCTCGCCGTACTCGTTCTCCCCTCCCCCGCACTCGTAAACACATCCCTACTCTTGCGATCCGCAACCACCACCTTCGCCGCCAACGCATCTCTTATCTCCTTCTCATCCCGATGTCTCCACATTCTCACCCCGCTATTACTTAATGGCCACAACACCTTATTCTCCTTCATCAATTCCTCCTCCGTATCGGCATTTACGCGCTCCGTGCGTCCATACACGATTTCTTCCCAAGTGGGCGCTTTGACCGAAGTCAGAATATCGAGTTCGCGAGCAAGTTCAGCGCAATAGTGGTCGAGGGGGAGATCGTTAACGTCGTTTCCAAAGGGGTTTTCGAGCTCGTTTCCAATGGCCATGAGGCCCACGATGATGTAGGCCGCGGCAATGGTTCCGGGGATGGTGACCCAGCCGAGGGCGTCGAAGAGTTGGAAGGGCAGGAGATACACGTATAGGTAGACGATTTGCGAAATGAGGATGTTGTAGCCGACGGGGAGAGGGGTCTGAAGTACGCGTTCGGCAGTGGCGGCACAATCGGTTAGCGCGTTCATGCATACGAGGATTTGACCGAGAACGACGGGAGAATCGAGAGTACCGTTGCGGACGGTACCGTCGACGTAGGCGTTTAGGTAGGTGAGGGTTTCATTGGGTAAACTTCCGACGGGTTTGCTAGCTCTCTTGATGGCCTTTCGGGGGTTACTGCTCGCGAAGCTCAATCCCAAGTATTCTCCAGCGCGCTTCCATGGGGTTCTCTTTTTCTGCACAAGTACTTCGGGGGTAGAGGCCGATTGTGCGTATGTGTTCAAGTGATGGGTGAGGGCGGAAATATCGGCATAATGAGCGTATGGCTCAAATCGAAGTTTATGTTTGAGAGCAACGGCAAAAGTGAGAACGAGGTTGATTCCCGTCACTTTGGCGAGGAGATCTTCTTTGCCCATGTCGCCTTCGCGTTCTTGAATCGTGACCCACATGAGTCGACTTAGGTTGCGGGAGTGCACCGAGAGGGATGCCCAGGCTTTACGTCCATCGGAGTAACTAGTTATGTTAGTTTGGATTCTAGATGTATAATATGGAGATATTATGTAAATGACGTGTCGAAAGGGAGAATGAAATGTAGATGAGACAGAGAGAAAAAGGAAGACTAACCGCTCATAAGCAGTAGTACTCTTAAAACTCAACGCCAAAGAGATGACGAAACCAAGAACAGTCAAAAGTAATGTATTGACGGCCAATTTCGTTCCGGAAAAGGTAGATATACATGTAATTAATGTAGTCCAGCATGCAATCCAAAAGAGTGGTACTATCATTCGTGGAATAACGGATCCATGAAGTCGCATAAAATATGGAAGTTTAGAGTGAGCATCGAGATCTCTTGGACCAACCTGTTATGAGGGGGATTGTTAGTCATTTTGTTTTGATGTATAGTGATTTTGTTATTTTATGGTGTTGGTATTCCATGATGGAGAAGCTCTTTCTTGAATAGAGTGAAAGTAGAGAGAAAGAAAGAGAGAAATAGAAGGAGAGAGAGAGAAAGAGAGAAAGAGAGAAAGAGAAATAGAACGAAAAAATAGATGGTAAAACATACAAAATACTCATCAAAGTTTAAATCATGCTTGCTTCCCCGGTTTCCATTTCCAAAGAAACTACTATTCGGTGTCGTCGCTCCACTAGCATGAACCTCCATACCACCCTTTGATCTCATCGTGCTCTGTCGACTAGGCGTACTTATCTCAGGGTTCTGATGAATAACGGTAGGATTGGCGTTGGTGGTGGTGGTTTGGTGAGGAAGAGTTGAAGTCAATGGATCAACATGACTACCCAAATCTTCGGCCATGTTGTCAGTTTTGTGGAATTTGATTAGAGTTGAGAGGGAAAAGGAGTCTAGAATGATTTTGTGGGTAGGTATGGGTTTAATTGTGGATTGAGATTGAAAAAGGGTCGGTCGAGATCAGTTTTATGCGTTGGTGGAAGGGTAGAGGCCCTAGATGGTGAAGGGTAAATGGTAAAGAGTGAACGGACGGACTTGATAACCTGGATCAAAGTTCGTGTTTGAAATATGCCTTGATATTAGTCAATAACGAGAGTGATATAATGTAAAATGTAAGGTTGTTTAGATGGTAAAAAGAGAGTGAGTGAGTGTCGAATAAAACTGGATAAAACAAATGAGGGAGAGGAAGAGAAGGGGAAGAGATGTAAACTCTTTGATAATGACTCAAAGTTCTCAAAGACCAAAGATCAAAGACGTGTAAAAAAGAAACAAGAAAATCTGAAGCCGTTCCTGCTTTGTGTAACAATGCTTTACTTTGAACCCCCTGAGAGATTAACCATAGGAAGTCAGCTTATGAGCTTAGCACAAATTAAGTCTGGGTTGGTGGAGATGTTATTTCAATGTTATTTCCCCTATGACCCTAGTCTTTAAATCCCCAAATAACATTTCTGAATGGATTGATGAGATCCTTGTGAATTACTAGGAGTAGGAGATGAGAGTTTAGTGAATAAGTTGGGATGAAGATATTCCCTACCCTTACCCTGCCTTACCCTGCCCTTGCCCAATTCTTTTCATCGGGGTAATATAATTATATAATAGCCTAAATGATATCTCTTCAGTGATAGGGTTGTACCTATATACTATATTCAAGGATGAATTGCGCCATGAAACACTACTTTACTTTTCCCCCTTCTTCCTTTCCTCTCTCTGTAGTTACATCTGTATACTATATTCTCCACAAGCCACCACCATCATAAAATCACAAGCTAACTACCGATAATTCATTCATTAACCAAAAACCGTTCATTCGATCTCGGAGCTGAGGAATCTCTTATATTATACCTGCGGGTCGGGCCACTCTAGGTTCAACCTCCACATAGCCTTGACATATGAACTACAGGAAAACCTTAACCCCTTTTTTATATTATTCCTTCTTTCCTTTTTTTTTTGGCTTTAAGCCTTATGAATATGAATGAATACGATTCTTCAAATAGGCTTTTGTACTACTGTTCTATGTATGACATAACAGCTGTCAAACATGAAGATGAAACGAATATTCATTTTGTTGAGGCATACAATTCTTTCTTCATTCTCTAATTTGTATCATAAAAGTCGAACTTTTATTCAAGGGTCCATCCTTACAGGGATCTCTAACAATCCATTGTTTCATCTCGTCTCGTATCAATCTACTCTCAACAGGGACCCTATCGATAATTTGATCTAATAAGGTAAAGATCGACAATTGAAGTTTGTTCTGGACGTGATGTTATAGAGTAGGTAAAAGGAAGATACATTATCTATTGTATTGTTGAATGTCCAAAAGCTGAAAACTCTTTACTTACACTATATACTCAATACAATACAATACATGATTTCTACTCGAGTAGTTCCTTTCATATGCAATCATTCTTCACAGAACAAACCCAGAACTTTCTATTCTTAGATAGTGATAGGTCTACTATATCTATTACAGGAACACCAACCCTAGTTGGCTCGATATACAATAATGAAGAATAAGTCGAGTGGTCTCGACCTAACTCAACCTAGTTCGATTCTCGGCTTACTTCTCGAATTTCAATAATACACACTGATACACATATACCTTATCTCTTCATCATCATCCACAATCAGAAAGAAACCATACTTCACCCCCCAGTATCAGTAACTTCAATCGCGGGGTCTCCGGACTCTTTCCCATTTTCCACTTTCCACTTTCCATGCAGCAATAATGATAATATAAGTCGAGGTTCATCTATTACCAGGTAAATTTGTTGGAATATTGACGAGTCAGCATATAACCCTACGTGGACCATATAAAATCTTCTTCATATGGATCTCACCTACACCTTTACCTACTACACACACATATATATACTTATCTATAGTTGTTTCTATATTAAAGTTTTATAAAAATATAAAATATAAAACAACTTTTCCTTTTCCTTTTCCTCTCTTTTCTTTTCTTTTTCATGTCTTGAGGCAAAGCGAAAATGACTCTTCTAAACTATGGGTATATATGTTTTATACTGATTTAAAATTTGGAAGTTTCTCTAATCTTCATCTTTATCTTTTATACAAATGTTTAGTAGTTCTTTACTCTACCCCTAGTGTCTAGTGCCTAGTGTCTAGAAACAAGAAGCGGAGCTTGAGGAAGCTATTCTAATCTCATCTCATCTCACATTCCCTCACTGTTCGCTGCATACTACATGATACAATTATTTACAATTTCAGACATTGTCTGGTTTTATTTCAATGTTATATTCTGTACTAGAAACAGTATATCTAGTTTATAGGCTTTAGCCAATTAGTCATAAAGAACAATTATAAGAAGATACATGGATTATTATTCTGCAAAAGTCTTGCTTGCTGAATCAATACACCCTATTGAAGTACAATATTGATAGCCAGTACATGGTAAGGCAAAGATATTTCATTCTTTTTCTTGATCTTATGCTGCTGCTTAATTTCATTAATGAAAGAATGTAATTGAGAGCCTCTGTCCTGACCCTTTCAGTCAAAACAAACTTTTCGATGGATCATACATAGCTCTTTCGTGAATTTCATGGCTACCCAAATATGTTGAAGAATAAAATAGAACTCATGGTTCTCTCTTCAGACTCTTCCGACTGCCCCTTAGCCCCGATTTTCTTTCCTCACGCATATTTCTCAGACAACCATATCACCTCCTCTTCTCTTATCCATACAAGATCCAGACCTAGTCCGCCGAAGCAGATCTGATCCTGCTCCTCTCTACTAATGTACATCAACTCCAGGTCCACGATTCGAGTATTTTCTAATACTGACAACATGAGATTGATGCGAATGAGATTCGGGAATAAAGACAGAAGAACCCTCAGGAGGCGGGTTTTTATTTTCAGGGCAGCTATATTCTCACGTGAGAATATGTCAAACATGTTAATTTCAGTTAAGCATACACCAAATATATCAATTTCAGTGATTTTCTCAAGACACTGTACAGCTTCCCTACTGTAGAGTGGGAATAAAGTGTTGAAGAGCTCACGCCCACCGTCCTGTACGAATAGTGGAATTTGTTGCCAGGTGATAGAAACGCAATCGACTTCAGGGTTGAAGTAGACCACATAGGGCAATAGAAGATCGGTACCACCATTGGCGAGGCTTCTATCAGGTCCAAGTATTGATCTCATATGATCACTATAGCGTTGTTGATAAAGGACATAGTAGTGCTTCAAAGTCTCCTTTCGGCTCTCTCGATTTACGAAAGCTACAGGGAGATACTCACAGGGACGAGTCCAATACAGCAAGTCGTATTGGGAATATCCTCATTCGACGACTGATATATCTTTCTGCAACATGAGTTTCATCAAGCGCAATTCTCGTTCTTGGAAAGAGTCATGCCAGATCTTGAATCGAATTTCGGGAGGCAGTGCGGAAAAACGAAGAAAGGTTGAAACCTCAGTAGAAATGCCTTGAGGAGAATCGCTAGGTATGTCGCTTTGTGAATCTGAGCTCAAGTATTTGGTTAGATAATCATCGATGTTGGATTCATTGATTGATCTAAAATAGAAAAATGAGTCAGCGGTTGCTAATATCCCTATTTAGAAGGTGGAAATGACTCTATATCTTCACAGCCCGATATAGGATCACTCCTTTGCCTCCCATGATGAAATGGATGGGGCTCTCCTGGTTCCCTAAGTCTCTCAAGTTAGGAGTGGCTTTGAAAAATATTGAAAGATGCAAGGTGGGTGAATCTTACATGGTATCTTGAACTCTGGTTTGGCCTTGTCTGATTTTGGAAGAATAAATTTTTTATTGAACAAGATATTCTGTACTGTGTTGTATTGTAAGGTATTGTATTGAGTAAGAGGTTCTGTGTAAAAAAGAAGTTATATAGTATGGGGTAGTTCATAGAATGATTGTTGTGAGAAAGAAGATCAAGGTGGATGGATGGATAATGAAATTTAAATATACACTATCTTGAGAGAGGAAAATACTGGTAATACCGGTACTAGATGACTAATAAGGAAAGACTCAACGGTATTACAGTATATTCATGCTTGTTACTGAATATCTATATATTCGAGACTGACTACATAATATATGTATTGTTACAACAAAATTCCTGATGTAAAACTTCAGTGAATTATAGATTCATGATATTAGAAGAAAGACAATATCTCACCAAAGGTTGACTTTCTCCATCAGTTGTCGTCTGTAGTACTGGCGAGATAGATCATCTTTAGCATACAGTGATCAAGGATTTGTCACAGTAAAGCATATGCAACTTCCATGTTAGGTTTTTTGCACGATATCAAGCAGTATTGAAAATTTCAAGCTTCCCACAACAATATCACAAATGCTTGTCTGAGTGTGAGATAATCAGACTTCTCGAAAGCCTTAGCAATAATGATGTTGTGGTCTCCAAGTCAGAATGGGAGGGATGCAGCATAACCTACATTTCTGCCCCTTTTCACCACCGGAGCACTCGCAACCAACTCAAAATCTCTACATCCCTCCACCTCCCCCCTACTATGCATACAGTTGCTTCCAGACAAACCACAGTTATGAATCGATTTCTTTCCTATAGCTTCTCAAGTGGTCGGAATCTTCTCTAGTTGTTGAAAGAAATGCTGTACACACTCCTTATTTCAGAATTACCATGGATTTGATGGGTACTCTTGTTCGTGCGAATGTGGCAAAAACACGAGGCGGAAAGGTTGGAAGGAGATGAGGTTCAGGTATTCGAGTATTCGAGTCATTGGCAGAACGGAGTGAAGGGGGAAAGGGGGGACGAATATTGAGTAACGAAGTCTACATATTGGGAAGTCCACAGTATTCAGAGACCCATCGCGATTTAGATGGAGAATCCTGAAGTTTTCTCGCCGTAACTTACTTTTGTTAATCACGCAATTCATTAATGTCTCTCTGAAAGTGTCATCAAGACTAGAGGGGAGTGGTTTTCATTCTCTACTGCGTATCGAAGGACATAAAGTTCATATTTCTTGCGTCGACGTCTCCACACCTGAATCGCCTTGTCAGATTGCTCGCATATGCTCAGCCCTTGCAAACGCTAAGGTCCGCTGCCACGAAGGTACATCTTCCAGTACAACATGTACCCACAGGACCAATAATGCTCACGCAAGTTGCACCTCTAGGCAAACACTGAATTGGACGATTTTATTAGTACAACCCCAATGAAAATGCTTGCCATATGTCAAGATACAATGTCAGGAAATACATACCTTCTTGCAGTGGGCATCATCTGCTACGAATGGCTCGTTCTCGCATACCAATCCTTTACAACAAGTGCCAACTGAACCGGCGAATCCTTCGCAGAAGGTACCCTCAGTGAGACATTTCTATGGTTGATAGATTAGATTTGACAGCATCAAGGAGCGGGAGTGGACGAGGAAGAACTACTTTGTATGTGTTGTCGTGAGGAAGACCAACAGCGGCAGTCGATGCTACGAGGAGCGTGAGGATGCTAAGTGATTGACTGAGCTTCATTTTCGTGTAAGAGTTTGGGAAGTTTTGATTGCTAACAAGAGAGAACTTATTGATAGAGAAGAATATGAAAACAAAGGAGGATCATCTCATTTATATCCCCTGAAGACGTCTTTCAACGCCATCATCGGTGTAAGATTCTCATCAGCTGTTCATCAGCTGACTCGAGCTGAACGCCTGCCAAGCGACTGCCAAGTAGATTTACGAGAGCCCCTTACTTCCCCGAGCTATGTGACATGGCGGTAACGACTTGACCGATCATATGCATACCCGTTTCGATATTGTGTTACCCCGCACAACGTCAGCATATCTGGGGCAACAAAGCTGATGGTGATGTGGAAAGGGACGACCACTCATCTGGAAGTGATACATGATCCCGATTATGACTGTAGATGGTATGATGGTAAACCACAGTCATGCCTCCAATCTTTTAGCCAGCGAGGAACTACAGCCGAACTGGAACTATTCATGGACGTCTGGGCCTCTTCGGTTGCGATTCGGGATTAGTCGATATAATTAACGCCTGAATAAGCTATCGCTGAAATCAAAACTTACTCACACCATTCACAATCACCACTTCATCCTTGATATTCCCGTGTATAGCGGGGAAATTGCATTGCCATACATATCTGTATCAGGGATTCCAGGCTACACGGTATGTCATAAGATCATAGTTTCGGAATTGGCCACTATGTTAAGGCTGATTGCCCAAGCCATTTCCTTTTGGAACCGGCTACTGTCAACTTTCAAGGCTTTATTAGTCATTATTCCTTCACCCCTTCATTCTCGAGTATCGAACATTGCCACCACAAGACTGATATTTCTGGATAACGTATTGGTGTCGTTCCGTTCTCGCTCATATCTCCTACACCAAATCGAATGACCTCCAAAACCACATGATTATGGTTCCGAGAAAGCCCAGCTGCACCTAGGTTTGCACTTGCGAATGTTTCAACACTCAAGTCATCCGCAATCGTGTTAATACTTGGATAACATCATTGTTTCTAGCCCTCGACATTAACAAGGTAGTATAAAGTGTGACGGACATTATATGGAGTCAAATTCTCATATATTCACGATGACCTTTGTCTAAAATCAACATCTTGACGGAGTCGTCGAGGTCATCGCTTGAGCAGATCTGAGTTCAAACCCTGATTTCTTTTGTGTCCAACTCTAGGATGAGTTTCGAAAGTGAGATCGGGAAGACTCTTTTCTATCTGCAATGAAGGATATATTACAATTATGAAGTTGTGTTCTTATGGTAATACTATCAACAATTGGTTAAGACCTAAGATAATATTGCGGCATTTCAAGTCAGTTTTTTGCGAGTGCGAATTACTTTAAGAGCTAGTAATTGCAATCCTACTTCCGAATATCGAGAAGTTATTTAGTCATACCTATTTACAGGTGTTGGTTGAAGCTTTCCATGCCTTTAGCGCGCGTCACTGGTCATTGTGTTGGTGTTGGCCACTAGGAATATAGGATGGCCTTGCAATATATTCAGGATTCCAGGTTGAAGACATCAAGGAGAAGCTACAGTAGGATATATCAATCGTCGTTTTCAACTAAATGATTCATCGCTTTCTATTTGCTATACTTGATGATCCGGCATCTTTTTTGACAATAAAAATATGAAGACAAAGCTTAATTCCCATACATTTTTCTTCCAAAACAAGAGGCACCAGCTAAAGGATGTCTGAAATGTTGAGTTCAGATATCAAAAGCCGATGATGGCCAAAGTTTGGCTCGAACAGGTCTCTACCTGTACCATCAATCTATCCAAGGTCTCGTGAGCCATCAAGCGGATTTTGACCACAAATCGGCCTCTATTGTTATTTAGCTTACAAAGACTGTCTGGTGAACTTTTGTGGCCTATATTTATCGGAGTCTTAGCTACTGTACTCTAACTAAAACCTCAGCTTCAAAAATTGGAAAAATCCTGATACTTTGCGGCGTATATTAATGATACTCCATGTCTGGATTGTTTAAGAAGAGCAGACACAATGCGCCAGCTAGTCCAGCAAGTCCAGCTATCCACTCACAGCATTACGGAGACCCGCAATGCAGTAGTGATAGACTACAACAAGAATCAAGACACTCAGAGACGACCAAAGGCGATACTTCCTATCGCCCACATCTATTCAGATCGAAAACCTGGCAGATATCTAGCAGTAGTAAGGAAAGTCTTGCAACAGATGGATTAAGCCCCAAGCTTTCAAAATCACCAAAGCTAAATGGAAGTGTGAAGTCATTCTTCTCCACGAAATCAAGAAAAAGTTCGGACGAGGAAGATGATTCGGATGATGAATTTTGGCAATGTAAAGGGAAAGAAGGAACTGGAATGCTTGAGGGAGACGGGAAGTCAAATAGAAAAGTCAAGTCACGCCAACCAGTGTACATTAATACACCTAGTCCCATTCCCATTCCCATTCCTAGTCGCTATAAGCCCAAAGCTGTCCAAATCCAACGTGGAGTTTCGACCCGAAAGAATCGTAAACCGTCTAAATCTACTATACTAAGCAGTCGCACAAGTTCTAAAGATCCATCAGCTTCACGAACAACGGAAGCATCATCTGTCCTTTCTTCGGCCTATCCAAGATCACCCTATGGAAATTCAACGGCAGCTTCATCCTTCCTTGACCCGCGATCAATAACTTCTGTCTACAATCAAAGAGAGCATGGAAAGATTAACTCAACTGGAGGCTCTAACAGTGACTCTGATTTGGAAGAAGAACATCGTGGAAGAGATAGCAAAAATTTGCGCAGAGAACGGTCTAAATATCTAGAAGGTATGTTTCTGTGTTGGGTCACCCACTCCCCAATGGAGATATATTAACACAAAATAGCCCAACGTTCTGAAAATAGCATTTCTTTCACAATGGGCAACAAAGACAAAATCAAATCGAAAAGTCAAACTTACAAAACTTTAGAAAGTAGCACCAGTAGCCAAGATTATCGTCGCAACGGAGAAAAGAGGAACCAACGCGCCGGCAGTCGCATCGGGAATGACGATAGATTTTACTATCACGAAGAACGAGACTACGCTGTCCACGACTTCTGTAATAAACACAAGTTCTCCGCTACACGGACAGGTTCCAATCCCTCGGCACAGGGAGCTACAATAACCAACACTCGAGGAGACAAGAATAAAGCCTTACCCAAACTCCCTATCGATGCTCAAATGGCCAAGCCGCATTATGATTATACTGAACATTATCTCTGTAAGTACTTCATTCATGGATGTGTTGCATTTTAGGCTGACTAAATTCAAAGCTACTCGTGTTGCAAATCACAACTCGGAGAGAGTCCACTCGAAGACTGGTCCGAGGCGTCTCAAATACTATGAAAGTTATGAGGGCGCGCATCAAGGGTGGCGGTAACGTGTCAGAAATTTTAATGATTCATATTGTTATATTGTACTAGGTTCTAAGCTGACTGGACATTGTTTTACTATTATTTTTCTTGTTTTTGATCATGTTATCTATTTTGTAAAACTTATAATTACCTTTGTTTTCTTATCTTAATATGTAGAGTAATGAATAATAATTTTTATAATATATATCTAAAAAGAAATCTTTATTTCAATCTCAAAATGATTATTTTAATAATAAATTATTTCGAAATTCAAAAATATATAAAAATGATTTTAATAAAATTATTATAGATTGAAATTTCGAGATTGAGATAAAAGTTCGTAAGAACGATTTTCTTTCGGATATATGTTATAAAATCAGATATATCGAAATGTCGATTATTCTAAAGAACTCTTTTCGCGATCACACTTTTCTTTTCGCGGTCACAGGTTTCTTTTCACGGTCACGGTTTTCTTTTCATAGTCACACTTTTCTTTTCATAGTCACACTTTTCTTTTCATGGTCACAGTTTTTTTTTTCGCGGTCAATGATATCTTTCTAGTGATTTTTGACCTAAGAAAAATTATATAATTCAATAGATAATCAATTACTTTATATTATAGACGACAATTTTACTTGTGAGTGTGAGGGATATCCGTTTAATTTCGAATACGGAGAAGAAAGATATTCAATTTCTTTATATTGCGGAGGCAAAACTCCAAAATCTTAAAGGACGGATATGGAAATCACGAGAGATTTCGATCAAGAAGAGTTCACGGAAGATGAGCTCGTCAATCGCATCTAAAAGTCTCAGCAGTTCATGTCGACCGCTTCCTCGCAATAACTGGATACCGGGGAAATCACTTCAAAAACTTACATAGGTACGAAGGGGAAAGATGGAGAAAGATATTAATGGGTGTATAAGACTGGTTAATTGTGATAAGGAACCTGTTTGATTCAGGAAAGAAATTCGCATATGAATCTATTAATACGGTTTACAAGAGCTCGAGTAAGATATGATCTTCCCCACAATCATTTGGGTGATGCAACATTACTAATAGCAGAAAGAGGTCTCAGAGATAAATCGTGGCCGCTAGTAGAAGCGGAGAATGTCCCGGAAGGAGAGGGAGAGCACAATATGAGGCATTTGTGGACTTGGAGTTTGAGAAGTGCTTGATTTGTTTCTTGATGTGTTGTCTCCCAAAAATGTGGTGGTGGAAGGATTCGCGATTTGTGGTATGATGTGACTTCATGGCCTAGTAGAAATGTAATTATTGATCCAGGTAATGGTCGGACTGGACTTTTTGATAATGAAACGTTCTTAAGTCATGAATTTGGTTGTGGCATTAAACATATTTTAGAAGCGTAGAATCTATAGTATAGAATCTAATTATTTAAGTATAGATTCTAAGGAGTATAAAAGTAAAATGAATTTAATTTTTGTGGTATGAGAGGAAGACAAGATTGACGCGAATGACAAAGAGCTTCGGGGTGAGGAAGAATGAATATAGAAGATGACCTGCAAATGTGAGCATCGCCAATCTTACAAGAACAATTGCTATGGGTGTTGAAAGTTGGTCACACGTTCTTTATTAATTGCGTTAATTCTAACCCCGAATCTGTATTATGTTGAATCATCGATCGATCTATCATGGTATATGCCCACTTCTAAAATGCTGATGCCTATACTAACCTTCCGCTAAATCAAGCAAACTTCTTGATATACATCCCAGTTTTATACATTCTAGCTGCAGCGAAACAAGCCACCGTTACAAGAAGCAGCGCTCCACAAAATGCTATGGTAGAAACATATCCCGAATTCGAAAGTATCTGACCGGCAACCGGTGTACCAATCAAGAGACCTAACCCAGCAACCGCAAAAGTCATGCCCATTCTTGTGCCTACTACTCCTAAGTGTGGACTCAACGATACGATGACAGTGGGTGGAATTGATACGAAGCATCCTGTTGAAAACCCATAAAGGATAGCGAACACCACGAGCCCGCCAACAGAGTGAACTCCAATCCAACCAAAAGCTACGATACTCGCGATAAATGTTCCAGGTATAATGATGTTGAGGGGCCCGAGTTTATCGGCAAAGTAATTGGGGATAATGCGTCCGAAGATGGATGCTGCATTTATGGTACTTAACATATAGAATGCCGAGTTCGAAGACATGATTTTTTCATCCGTGGCGTAGGATGAAATGTAGTAGAAGGGAATATTGAGACCCATGAATCCGAAAAAGAGACCGATGGTAAACAGTAGATATGGTGGTTCTTTGAATGCGGCCAAATCCATTAGCTTTCGCTTCTGTGCGGGCTTTACACGCATCTTCATGATACTCATGGAGATTGAGAGAGTGGCGAGGAAGATAAATCCTAGGGCTCTTGTTGTCCAGCCAAATCCGATTTTGGGTTGGAGATTATGAAAAATAATTGGGTAAATTACACCACCTGAAAATTTTTAGCGACTGATTTGATACCATCTCAAGTGTTTGTTCTCAAGATATCTTGTGAAAAGATAGACATACCAAGTGAACTTCCACTAGCAGCAATCCCTGTTGCGAAAGCTTTCCGTGTCGAAAAATAAGTAGAAACAATGGCGACACTAGGAACAAAAAGGCATCCCAAACCAATTCCCATGCAGACTGCTTGAGAAAGTATGACTTCCCAGTATGTTTTGGAAATCGAGGTCATCATCATACCGAAGACAACCAAAAATGTCCCAGTGGCTAAGAGAGGGCGGAAGAGGCCGGCATCTAAGAAGTATTTAGTTTTCGAAACTGATAGGAGAAAGGAATAGAAAAGGAGAAAAGTACCAAAAAGAGGACCAGTGATAACTCCCACAAGTAAGAGCAAAAAGGCTTGAATAGAACCAATCCATGAAATACTGGACGGAGACTCATGAGATAATAAATCACCCTCATAGAATGTTTGAAATGCACCAAACATATTTACTATGCCCCTATTCTGAGTATCAGCCATTCATTCATTTTGATCAGCATGATTTTCTGGAGACAAAATATACCAAGAATTAAAGAACAGAAAGAAGCTCCCAAGAACTTGGAGCCATGCAACGGTTCCTCCATTTGGAATATCAGCATGGGGATTCGAATGAACCTGAGGAAGTACTTCGGCAATGATTTCAGATTCATTACCCGATAATACTTCTTCTTTCGATTTGATCGACTCCCCGGCCGAAGTATTTTGATCGAGGTCGGTTGATATTTGGTCCATCGGGATTTTGGCGGGATCCATTTCCGACTTTTCTGCGTTCACCTTCAAGAATTGATGCGTCAATTGGGTGTTATCGATCATGTATCATTCAATGGGCAATTGGGTGTAATCTCATCTCCTTAATAATCAAGTTCTCGCGTTCAGAAAAGTAGTATCTGAGGAACCTGCGAACCAAATCACAATTATAAAAGTGCGGGTTGCTATGTTGATATACCTACTCGAGTAAACAAACCGTGGATGTTACATCACGGTTGGACCTACCTACTAAGTTGTTATATCCGCCAATTGAGTGATAAGATCGCCATGAAGATATGGAGAAAAGTCCTGGAGAAATCAAGAGAGTGGGGTCGATTGTAGTTTGAGAATTCGGAAAGGAATCGCGGCAATTTAGCAGTAGGTGATATCAAAAGAATTTGATTGATATTGAAATTGAAGTCAAAGTTTGAACAAGACCATCCTCGCAAAACATTGGGAGTAATTATTAATAACACCACCGCGATATATCATGGAGAGATCGGCCGAGCAACGTACCTACTGGCAAACAGCAGCTACAGCTACACCTTACAGCATTTATCATTTGAATTATGCTCTTCTCTTATTATTGTACCTTTCCCTTTCCAGACTTTGTCTTGCATCATTAGAGAAGTCCATATTTAAATCATATTGGACTCGGGGGAAGAGGGGGAGGAGAGGGGGAGGAGAGGAGAAAAGAGAGGGAGAGGGAGAGGAAGAGGGAAGGTAAATGTGAAAGTCCATATTAGAGGATCACGAGATCAATTTATCTATTGTTAGAGGCCTAGACTCACATCAACTTGCGCCTTATCTCATTCTCAGACCCACGGCGATTACATAATCATAAAATCTATAAACTAGCCAATCAGGTCTATGTGGGATAGCGCGATTATTCACCGTACTAAAATAATTCGTCTTTCATTATCCTTCTACCCCCTACAACCAGAATCCCTTCACCGGTACAACAATCAATCAATCAATCAATCAATCAATCAACAATGTAAAGACTTCCAACACCAGAAAGTAATCGAAACCTATACAGCTACATTTACAAAGCATCCATGATAACTTAGCTTTCCAAACAAAAAAGGAAAAAGAGTTGCTGAGAGTATAAGATAAAACCAAAATCATCGACCACCTTGCTCAAGCCTCCAAGCCATCTGTCGTGCGAATATCTGCGGCCTCGAGCGGTACTTTCTCTCTTTTTAGAAGCTCTACTCGTGCAGCAACATAAAGAGCCGGGCTCACTGCAGCATTGTCAGTATGTCCGATGATTCCGAGCATCAGCGTCATCTGTATCTCGCCGTGCTTTTCGCGACCGCCTTGGATATTCTGGAGTAGACGGGCATTATTCGGAGAAACCATCTCCCCCCGTACAGGACTGTAGATTGTGACTGGGGAATTAGGTCTGGCTTTGATAATGAGGTTCAACTCGCTTGCCCGATAAACAATATCAACACAGGGTGATTTACAAGCATCCACAATTTCTTGTCGAGACTTCCCACAGAGAAGAACGAGGGGTAAAATAATGTCAACCAACTCTTCACCCATTTGCTTGAAGATAAAATTGTCATTTGTGAAGTATAGGTCTCCACGCCTGTTCCTATTTCGATTTTCGACAAAAAGTGTGCTGCTGTTGTTCTGAAGACAGAACAGATTCTCAACTGCATCGTCAATCTGCTCAGGAGATACTAAGGTATGTTAATATTCATCTTCATACGTTCTAGGATATTACTAACCCTGCGTGTGATGTAAACTAGCTCGGTACCTTTTTATCACATCTGGCATGCTCAAAAATACAGGTTCCAGCAAATATCGCGATACCACTGCTCGAAGTACTGTTCTGATACTCAATTTGTCGAGGCATGACGATTGGAAATGATTAGGAATATCGTTCAAAGTCGTCAGCTTGAAGGTATTTTGAAGGAGTGAAACTGCTGTCATGCCTCCTCTAGAGGTCCGATGGTGGTCGTCTAACTTTGCAATGTTGGACCTAGAAAAGGGAAAACAGTCATCATGTATAAAACCCTCACCACCAAGCATGTTTAATGTGTAGTCGATCAGGTGATAAATGGTATTCAGTCGGGTTTGTACTTCATCGGACAAAAGTGGACTACGTAGGATCCTTCTATCTTCCATTCCTGAAGAAGCAGGTGAAAAAGAGTCGTTCAATATATTCAGATTCGAAGCCGATGAAATCTGGGCAGATTTTGTTTGTGCCGACGAGGTCATTTCGAGACCATGAGGACCCCAGTTCAGAAGTGGATTCGTTTTCCCAAATGCAATGTCTGCCTCGTGCTCGGCATGGGTGATTTTGTCTGAATTGAGCGTGCAACATCTGCTAGTAGCATTTGGATGCACTGCGCTGTCTACAAGGCACAACGCGCATCTGCTCGGCTGAGTAAACTCTGCAATCTTGGAATTAAAGTTCAATACTCTGCAGGGAAATCGGCGTGTGACACAGCGCTGGCAAGGTCCATTAGTTTTTGGATTGCCTGTTGCTTGTATCTGCTCTGCCTTATATTTCATCTGATCCTTCTTCGGTAAGCTGTTATACCACTCTTTTGTGTGAGCAGCAAAGAGGTGTCGTTTGACTTCACCTCTTTTCGGAGCTTCCGGTGGGACATCTTTTGGACCTTCGAAAATTTCACATCTGTTGTGGCTACGTTTTGTTACTATCAAAATCAGTCAGTAAACTTCCGTGGTGTATATTTATAAGTGCAAAGAAGCCATCATGTTAAGTGAGAACTTGCTGATAATGGAAGAAACGTTCGGGGGAAAAGAAGATGAATTTTAGGAGAACTTTGTGCTTACAGCAGTTTTGGCATTGATGCCTCCGGAGGTTTGATGCAAAGCGATCTGCTCTTGATGGTCACCCTATAAATCGCGTTTTATGCGTGTGGCAGTGATCACACGCTCCATTGGCATCATTGATTGTGTTTTTGCAAACACTCTTGTTTTCGTAACAAACCTCACAGCGCCGGCGTTCATGCCTCGCAGACTCGAACTTGTACCCGACAGGGAATACAATACACACGATATTTTTTGATTGACAGTTTAGGCAGGCTGTTGAACTCTCAATCCCGATATCTTGCAAAACTTTTATCTGGAGTTCCCTTCTCTCCTGGGTTTTCTTTCTTTGAACCTTCACTCGTTCGGCCTTTTCCCTTCTCGATATTGTAGTTGCACTTAAACTTTCATTGGGAATACTGGTGGACATATTTGAAGGGGTTGAAATTTCGATGTAATGCTTCTGAACTTCTGAAGATCTTTCGTGAGATAGTGATGAATTGGTTTCACATGACTAGAATTACTCACGGAAACCCTCTACACTTAATACAAAAGCAGATGCTCGGAATATCAATAAACAAACTGCAAACTAAGAATATAAACAAACAAACAAACTATAATATAAACAAATAATATATTATTAGATTAATATTTTTTTAGTAAACCTATTTGGCTTTTCTTGCAAAGTTTACCGCTTTCTAATTGTTTTGTCTTTTTTGTTTTTCTTCTAATAATTATTCAATGTTTAAGTCGTGTATATATTATTTGTATATATTTGATTGAGTCTAGTTAATCTATTTAGATTAATTATATAAGCCCAAGCTGATAACCGCTTCTGGCGTGATTAGCGAAAGATATCCTTCTGAAGTTTTTTCAGCTTGTCATCAGTTGCGAAATGAGAATCTGATGCCAAGACATCCGCTTTGGGCCCCTGTTCTTGTTCAGCAATCCAACCTTACTTTTTCTTCGGATACCTATATAAGGTTAACAACCCTTCGATCACCTAGATAACAACAATTTTCCTTCGGATACCTATCTCAATCCAACCGACAAGGTCTCTCCGGATATCTATATAAGGTTAACAATCTATATAACAACAATTTTCCTTCGGATACCTACCTCTATATAACGACAAGGTCTCTTCGGATATCCATATAATGACAAGGTTAGGAGAGAGCAGTGTCCGTATTTCGGCAAATGACAAAGAGAAGCGCTGAGAAGTTCCAAAATGTTTGTCTCCGCCCTCACCTGTGACCTATGTTATTGAGCGGGTCAGTCAATAGATACTCTCGGATAGGAAATTTTAAGTTCTGTTGTGAAAGATCGGTCAAATAATGTAGGTATGAGGAGATTTGCCAAGGAAGAATAGGCTTTCAGCTTTCAATTCCAAACTTCCAAGGTTGCATTCTTTTCGTTTGTATTCCGAAGGCTTTATTCATATCTTTGTCTGCTCAACTTTGCGTCCGAGCGGTCGAAATTCATTGAGGAGAAGTATATTCCTATACTCAGTGACTTAGATAGCATTAGCTCTAACTAAATCTATCTCTCAGGTACTCAGATATAAATATACTAGAATTATCCCTTCTTTTCTCTCAAACTTCCCTTTATAATCATTCCATAACCTTTTTCGAGTCCCAGCCATATAACATTCGCCCATTTTCTCTCGTAGTTCAATACCTACCTCGATCAATTCGACAGTATCTTTTCTATCTTGTTCATTACTTTTACTCTAGAAACTATGGATCCAAACACAACCCTAATCATTGGCTTGGATATCGGCACCTGCCTCACCAAGATCTGCTATCGACGTCCAGGTAGTGCCGTTACGGAAACTATCACGAAGTGGTCCAACGGCTCCCCTTCCCAATGTCGAATGGCATCACCCACTGCCCCATCCGCATTGTATTATCCTCTAGGCTCGACCATCCCGATTTTGGAACACAAGCAAATTGATGACGAACCGGAAAATTATGACGCCAGGAGACTAGTTAAATACTGGAATAGTGGTTTGCAACCAGGTTCCCGTACTCACACGGATATAGCGGCTAAGGCGGAGCTGCTAAAAATCAACATCGATCAGTTCGCATTTCAGATGACTACTGTTACTAAACCGGTTGTTCTTCGATAAAAAGGCTTTTCTCAAGTCTATGATGGAGAGAGAATCCTGGAGTTTGAGTGACGTGTGTCTAGTTTTTGGAAAACCCTCAGGCTGGCAGACTGCTACGTACATAGCTTTTCAATATGCTGCGGAACATGTTGGATTTGCTCGACAGCAGATAAAATTCATTTCTGAAACAGAGGCTTTCCTTCGAGAGTACCTTAAGAAGGAGAAAACGTTCAATGTATGTTTTCACTCTTCAATGACTTCTCAATGCTTACAATCATATAGATTGGCGATAAGATTGTCAGTGTTGATTGTGGAGGGTATACTGTGGTTAGTATCTTTCCTTGTGAGTCGTGACTTCTTTCTCAAACTAAACTAATATAGGATATTGATGCCCACCAAATTCTTGAATTGGATGATAGTATTGGAACAGCAACACGAGTGTCATCAGCTGGCATTCTGCCATTGAGTATGTACTAAGTCATAGTTTCTTTCACATTTCATTGGAAACCATCGTTTGTGAGTAATCTTACAAATTATCATTTTAGGTCTTCCATACGGCTCTGAGAGTGTGTGGCCTTTTGCTCAAGAGTACATTCGTGATAAACTCGAGCTAAAGAACGAATACTCCGAGGATGAATACAACGCTTTCTCGATGACATTCTGCCTGTATGGATATGGCAGGTTCAAACGTCGAGGCATGTGTTGACGCCTGTCGGTTCCGATATCTCTTGTAGCTTTTATCACCCTTTAATTAGAGCAGATGAGAGCAGATGAGAGCAGAGATCCTCCTTGGTCGAAGGGCTTTCTGAATATTCGATGGTAAGTACTTGATGCCAATAATTCAGTTGTCTGTACTAATATGCTAATATAGGACAACAATCGCCGATATGTTTCAGAAAAATTCAATTGTCCATATCATAGATGGGCTTCGAGAGTTCATCAAACGCATCCCAACCAAACCAACAGTAAGTTGTTATTGACTAATATATTGAGACGAATCTTGATACTAATACAATCAAGCGTGTGGTCCTTGGCGGTGGTTACTTGAATTTGCCTCTTGTTGAAAAGAATTTGAGCGAGCTTGGGATGGAATTGAATATAAAATTTTGCCTGCATCCAGACGAGTACGTAGTACAAGCTAGATTTCACAGATATACCGCCGCTAACGTTCAGAAGAAAACCAGTGGCAGATGGAGCCGTCGACATGGCGGCAAACCCTGATGTGGTAGAATCAAGACTTTTGAAGTCTTCATATTCTATTTCCTCATGTATCCCTGGTCGCCTCGAGATGAGAAGGCAAAGCCTCGGATGATCTTTGAGCCCTTCCGAGAGAAAAATGTTGAATCGTGGGCGCTTCAAGCCTACGAGTGGCTAGGAAGAGTGGTATGTCCTTCTAGGCTGATTCTCTTTTTGGGTTATCACTGACATGATTTAGGGGGATCCACTTGGGTCAACCCAAGTATTCACTGTTGACAAAAAGGAGTCCCAGTGGCGTGAGCGGAACATTCAGACGTTAGATGACCTTGTTTGGAATGATACCATTACATCATGGAGTGGTCATCCTGGTCCTCAACTCTGGACAATACCTGCTCGGTCAGAAGGACTCCAAGAGATCGGTAAGTCAATTCAAAAGTTTTGTTTGTATATATTCTAACACTAATGTTTTGGAACACCAGAGACAATATGTTTGAAAGTGGATTTCCGCAACAAAATTCCGGATTTCTCAGCGATGTTGCACAGGAGAGGGTATACAGATGTATATCGCATCAAGTACTGTGTGGAGCTACACCTGGATGGAGAGTCCCTCACCTTCGTCATTAAGACAAAGGACAAACATGGAGATATTTATAGCCTTCATTTGGATCAACGAGGAACGATATATTCGGTCACGTTGAAAGGAGACTGTGCACAATTGTCTACAGACAAAAGGCGCGACCTGTTCAGTTCCACCTCCACCGAAAGTAGCAGTAACGCTTCAGAAAGTAATCGGACTACAGGAAGCAGTGCTACGGTCTCACCAGTCACGCCGTGTCGAACCCCTCCGACCACACCAATTTCAACTTCAATTCTGGAACTGGAACTGGAACAATTGGATGTAGATCCACCAAGCCTGCAATTACTGCAAGGTATGGAGTTGCCGAATCCCTTTTCTCCCAGTTATCCGAAACAGAGACAGGGTTTCAAGAAATCTCCCCGCCGTCGTCGAAGAAAGAAGCAAAAGAACACAGCAGCGGTGACGACGTCGAATGGTACACATGGCACACCAACAGTATTGCGACCCGATACTCTTGATGCTATTGGGTTACCGCTTGGTAGACCTGAGTATACTGTTGACGAGATTTCTCTTTTGGCCCCTCCCTTGTCTCAATCATCTGCGGTTCCGGATGATACGATCGTTATTGCACCGCCTCGGAAGAATGTTTCCTTTCTTACTCCGGTAAAGTCTAGATGAGGTTCTCCTGGCGAGGGTTTTAGGATTTTGATTGTGTTCTTGTATATATTTCTTGATATTCACTTGATGGTTTGCTATGTTTGTTATTATTCTCATGGACATTGGAGCGAGGCGTTTATCGGATGGTTATTAAATTTAATGAGATGGATGAGACAAATGAGGAAGATGAAACAGATGAGATAAATGAGATAAATTCTAATCTAAATGTTGAGAAATATATTATTTCAATTCCTATCTAGGTATTTAGCTGCTTCACAATGCTCTCTAGATAGTCCGATATAAATTGTATTGCTGTATACAGTATACCGGTACCGGTATATATCCAGAGCATCAAAATTGACCTGTGAGTACTCGTAACGAGCTGCAATAATATTGTCAACTCTTATTACTTTGCAAGATTTTGAGTCCCGGTTACATGAAAAAAGAATTTTTCTTTATTCAATATGAAGTAATTCATAGCTACCTACTCGAGTATACAGTACAAATGAAGGACTCGGTCGGTATCCATGCTACACGACATTTATTACAGGAAAATACTGGCCCAGTCTGCCCTAGCGGCGAATCTCTCCCATGATCATCCTCGACTTATCTATCTTATTACCTACAGATAACCTGGCTAGACCCATCATCAATTTTTGCTATAAATCTTTCATCTCAATCTAAATCTCAATCTCTATCTCTATCTTACCGGACTGGATATCATTTCAAACAATCACCGAATAAGCACTTCTGAAAATGGGTAAACCCATCAACTCCTTCACCTCCTATAGTATATAGAGACAATCCAGCACTCGACGATGCTGCCTCAACTTCTTCCGCAGTATCATTACATACCATCGATGGTTACGAAGATTCACGTAGTAGTATCATTGCATACTATTGATAATTACGAAGATTCAGAAGGAGCATTGTCTTGTTCATATACAGACAGGCCTGCATTAAAGCCATTTGCGAATTGTATAACCAATACTCTATCATCAGGAGCATGATATCGGTATACTTATCTTTTGATCTTCCCCTATTTTCTAACCCTATTTCTAATTCCAAACATCTAAATATTACATACCATCGATAGTTACAGAGATTCGCCACTCACCACTTAATGTCTTAATTATATAATAGCAAAAACATTATGATTTAAGGATAACAAGATATATCATCCTTGAATCATCACACTTAGCTATTTATCGGATTTATCCGTGTCCGAAAGTGTTGGTTTGTATAGTTAAATAGTTGAAATATAGAAGCTTATAAAGAAAGGAAAGAGAGAAACAGGGAGAGATGAGTTATGATATAGTGAAGATATAATAGCATTATTGTTACAATTTGTATTACATATATTACTATTGTAGAATGAAATATACTAGTGCCAATCAGGACGACGAAAGGGAGATTGGGATTCAAAAAAATGAAAAATTGTTTTGATTAAGTACAGGGGAAGCTGTATCTATTCTAGTCAGCTTTAAGTCTGAATCTCACATTCATATATCTCATACCTCCAATGTGCCGGGATGGCCTCTGATGATTCCCAATCTTCCACCAATCCTTCCGTGCTCATTACGTCTTTGAAGGCGTTCATGTCCGGCTGGCGCAATAGCATCCACATGCATCGGCCCAGATTAAACACTTCAGCCAGCTCTAGAGCCTTTGGACATTGCTTGCTCCATACTAAAAATACGTTCCATACGTTCCAGCCATTGCCACCTGGTGTAGTCACAGGCATATTACGCCGCCCCGGTCCAGTATATTTCGTGTACCGAAGGGCAGTAGTCAGACCTCTGCTGGTATCTCTTCTACGTCCCAGGTGTTATCAATCTCTGGAGCTGCCGTGGTAATGGGGGCATCGCTTTGCTCCCAATCTATAAGCACAAGACTGTAATCTACGTCAAGCAGGAAATTCCCAGGCTTAATATCCATGTGGTAGGTATGCGCAACGAAGTGGGTATGCGCAATGGCTGCGGCCATCTGATAACACCATTGGGCCTTGCACGACAGTGGTATTCGCTCAGCAGATTCATTGTTCTTCTCGATGTGACCAGCAAGGTTGCCATTTGGGAGAAATGGATAGAGACTGCCACACACAAATGGTCTGTCGTCGCCAGGTTTGCAAATAGTGACTAGAGTCTGCGCAGGGGCCATGACGTTAGGATGGCGTGGCATGTTGCTGACCAGCTCCACTGATCGATAGTAGATTTTTACTTCCTCCCGAATGTGCCCACTTTCGTAGCTGTTCAAAAAGGTCCTGGAGTCGATTGCTTTAAACACAAACTGAGACAGGGGGTCCGACGGGGTATACACAAGAGTAGTACGGTCTCTTCCGCCGAGCTGATTCAGTCGTATTAGACTTTTGAAGTCTACCGTGTCCATCGGTTGCTTGACGGAAAGCTGGCTAGGTGGTAAGAGTAGGTCGACGTAATTGTTGAATAGATCCTCATGAAAAATGCTCCACGAGATCTGTGGGGGAAGATCTGTCGATCCGAAGTCGTAAACATTGATGACAACGCCTGGATCTTGAAATGTGGATTTGCCGCTACATTCCGCCCAGACTGTAGCAATCGCCGACTATATCGCCATGCGCATGGAGAGTCGGTCCGGGAATGTAGCGCTTGTGCCATCGACTGTTAGGTCGTGATAGCAGTTCACAATACGTGTTGTCAGACACTGCGATTGCTGGGCATGGTCGAGCCCAAATCGAAAGATCAATGTCTTCTGATGCCCAAACGCCCGAGCAAACACAATTGTCTCAAGATCATTCCCCAGATCCACTCACCCAATATACCGAGTGCTTTCAATGCATCTTGTTCTCTGCCGAAGTTGCCACACGGTTCAGGAATATGGGGATGAACAACGTCCGGCTCTTGCTCAGCGTTTGTAATGGATAGGATAGTTGTCGAAGCACCCAGAAGTGGGCAGATAAATTTCTAAATTCACCCCTTATAATACCAAGAAGTACCTCTGAGTTTATTCAGCGGCTCAGTACTATAGTTGGATATATGCAGACCCATATTTGCCTCTGGGTTCGACGTGCGGTGCGACGAATCAAGGCTCAATGGCGGGGCTGGTTTTTCTTGCATGTCGTGCTCTGGCGCGGGAATGTTGACTGCTGAGGGAATCCAATTTTGCACCGCAGGGCCACATCGACTGGAAGGAGGTTCGTGCGTTGAATGAATGAATGAATGAATGTTCGAGCTGTGCGCTTGGTTGGGGTTATTTGTTTGCCTGGCCCCTGCAGCCTCTTCTCTCGATATCGTGAGAGGTCCCGTGATCTTCGAGGGAGCTAGACCCAAAAGTTCAATCTTGGCATTATCTTATCTCATCCTCAGACCCTTCTCTTTGTGATTATATAAGCGTAAAATCTATAAGCTGACCAATCATATGTATGTGGGGTAGAAAACTGTGGATCACCGAAGGAGATTAACGATTTTTATATTTAGCGTTGTTTTACGGGAGTTTTACCGTAACACAACGCTAAATATAAAAAAACGTTAATTGATTTAAGGGTCTGAATGTGAGATAAGCATTATCAAGCAATATCAAGAAATTAGTGAAAACCAAAGAACTGTTTTCTTGGAGGAAACCTCCCTTTAACGAGAAGAGGTATGTTCTAGGTATACTTATCACGTGATAATAATGTACATCAATCAATCGCGAGGTGCAAAACATGTACTCTCTTGTCACAAACCAAACAATGCCATCGTCGCAGATCATGAAGACAAAGATCAAGAAGAACTTGCTCAAATTGTTCGTGGGAAGTATGAGTTGTCTAAACCAAAAACAGCACTGCGAACTATAAATGCCCTACCTCCATACAACATCACCAGGCCTCACAAGCACAAACTCTATAAATAATAGGACTAAGGATCTTTGGAATACTTTACCTGTGGTCGGTCCTCTTGCAATATGTTTCCTCTCTACTCGTATTAATATTCAATTACCAACTATTCCTGACCCTAGGTAACTTTATACTTCTTATTTATTTGAGTCTCAGTCTTTGGATTTTTACCTGTCACCCTGGGATCGTTGTATCTTACTTATCTTGACTTTATTTTGGTACATCCGATGTCTTACTTTAGTTCTTGCATGAAGTCATGTTCAAACTGTTCATGAGAATTCTCTTGGCCACTTCTCACATCAAAGATATTTCTAAGACTTATCAATACTCATCTAAGCAATGACAAATATGGGATATACAGCATTAGTCCGGTAGTTCATGTGGAGATCTCAGAACTCAAAGTTGATAAGACCAATCAAAAGTTATAAGTGGAATTGCGGGAGCGGGAACTGCGGGATATAAAGTGGCATCGTTGCACACTATCAGAATCAGAATCAGAATCAGATTTTAGGGAAACTGTTGATATAAAGTCAAGCTTTCTCAAGCTTTCATTATTCAAACCCTCTAATCATCATTTTCACGATTCCTCGCATTCTATCTTCAACATGACATACAAATCTTGGCCTTACACAAATGATAATGGGAATACCGAAAATGCTGGAGCCACAGTAGTAACGGAAGGACTAATTGAGACTGACTTGTTAATTGTCGGAGCCGGACCTGCTGGGGCATCTTTGGCTTGTTTTTTGGGTCACCATGGTAAGCTTTCATATTTTTAATATTGTCGCAGACCCGAGACTTCTCATTGAACTTTCGATATTGAAAGATCACAAGTGAAAAGACCTTTCAGCGGAGAAACCATTCCTTACCTTATGTTGTTTCAATTATCAGGGGCAAGTGATAGAGTCCCGGAGAAAGCCAAGGAACGAGAAGGAGAAAATGAGAAGGGGTACTAATAATCTCAGATCTACGAGGAATGATTATCGCGGCCACTCCTGGTACGGCAGATACTCCTCGGGCTCACATAACCAACATGGCAGCCATGGAATGTTTGCGTGATATAGGGTTGGAAGAAGAGTGTTTACAAGTAGCTGTTAAGGGTGATGCGATGTTACATACGCGATGGTGCCGTGCTTTAGCTGGTGAGGAATATGCAAGAATTTACTCATGGGGAAATGATCCTAAACGTGCTGTAAGTCAAGGCATAGTCAGAGATCTGTAAGAGACTGACATCTACTACAGGGTGATTATGATGCCGCAAGTCCATGCAACCACGTTGATATCCCTCAGACGGTTCTCGAGCCGATCTTGATTAACCGGGCCTCTCACAGTGGGTTTAATTGTCGATTTGATACAACCTTTTTATCATTTGAACGAGACTCGATATCAGGTACAATTAACAGCAAAGTCCAAGACGGCCTAACGAAGCAAATCTATCATATCAGATCGAAATATTTATTTGGATGTGATGGAGCCCGAAGTCAAGTCCTCAGACAATTACAGATCCCATTGATCAAGAAGCCTGGACAAGGCTTGGCCATTAATGTACTGGTCAAAGCCGAATTGGGTCATGTCATGGAAAATAGGATGGGAAATTTACATTGGGTTATGAGACCTGAAGAGGAACATGCTGCATTTGGGTGGACTGCTAATGTTAGAATGGTGAAGCCTTGGAATGAGTAGGTTCCTGGTCAAGTTTGAATAGGATAAAACTGACTTTTTAGGTGGATGTTTATTCTTTTTCCTTCTCCTGAAGCCGGAACGTCTTTCAAACCCTCTAATGAAGAGTATCTAAAATGTATCAAAGATATGATTGGAGATGACTCGATTCCCGTGGAAATACTCGGAGTATCCAAATGGTTAATCAATGAAACGGTCGCAGAATACTACTCCGATGGAAACATGTATGTCTTCCGTTTTTCTTCCCAAATTCCGATTCATTAATTATATACAGTTTTTGCCTCGGTGATGCAGTCCACCGCCATCCTCCACTTAATGGCCTAGGATCTAACACTTGCATTCAAGATGCATATAATCTCGCTTGGAAGATTGCCTACGCCTTGAAAGGGAAAGCAAATGGTGGCATCCTCGACTCCTATAATGTCGAACGCCAACCAGTTGGTCAATCCATCATCACGCGAGCCAACCAAGGGCTTCGAGATCACGGCCCAGTATGGGAAGCTTTAGGAATGATGGACCCATCCATCGAGACTCGGCGAAAACACTTTGCAGAGCTCTCTGAGGCCACTCCTCAAGGGGCAGCGCGTCGAGCACGATTTCAAACTGCAATAGAAGGAACCGCACGTGAATTTCATGGTGTTGGTATTGAGATGAATCAAAGATATGAATCTTCTGCTGTCTATTCTTCCAATGAAAAGCCAAGACCGTCGTTGCCAGCAGATCCAGTTCTCGATCATGAGATTACCACTTATCCTGGAAGTCGGCTCCCACATGCGTGGCTTAACACCAAGGTTCCAGGCAAACAATTCTCGACGATTGATCTTGCTGGACATGGGAGGTTTTGTCTTCTCACGGGAATTGGAGGAGAAAAGTGGAGACCTGCTGCCGCAAAGGCCGCAGAAATTCTTGGGCTTGAGATCAACGTATACTCGATTGGCTGGAGGCAAGATTACGAGGATGTATATTTTGATTGGGCAAGACGAAGAGAAGTTGGCGAGAGTGGATGTGTGCTGGTGAGACCTGATAGATTTGTGGCTTGGAGATCTATGGAAATGATGAATATGCCAAACGAGAAGTTGTTACAGGTGTTGAAGACTATCTTGAGTTGGTAGCAGAAGGGTTTACATACCGGTATCATTTTTCGGCTCGAGATGGAAATTACAAAATGAGGATTTCTGAAGCTTCATTAAATTTAGCCACTGCTCAAGTTCCCATAGGATGGGAAATGTCAAGACAGACCCACGACATTTTATTGTATCACTGGTCGAAGATCTATTCCATTAAAAGGTTGTTTCACGTATGCGGTACTACGCCTTCATCTATAGATCTATATACCTGTTTGGTGCGCTTCTACACAGATGTGGGGTTTGTGACTTCAATACCCCGCAGTGGTACAATATCCAATTGATTCTCTATCAACTGACGAATACTCTTTACTCCTCATGTTAACCCATCAATACCCAACAAGACAAAAGTACTGTACTTGTAAGTTGTCAATTGTCCAGGTAAAGTGGTTGTGATTGAAGAGAGCTTTGGTACGAGTATCAATGCATGAGCTTCCTACACTCCAAAATCCTCCAATTCCAAAGAAAGTTTATGACCACGCCGGGCAATAATGCTCTACTCTCAGGAGAACCGTTTGGTATACCGATTCGACGCTGAAGAACTTTGGATTGATCCATGGGGTCCAAACGCATTTCGTATCCGCTCGACCAAAGAATCGCAATATCCAAATCCTAATGAATTGTGGGCACTCCAGGAAATCGAAAGCGCAGCTGCAACAATCAGTGTAGAAGAAAAAGAAGCATCAATCACTAATGGCTATATTCGCGCAACTATTACCTCAAGAGGAAAAGTCATAATCTACAATGGCGAAGGAAAGATACTATTAGAAGAATACGCACGTCACCGTCTCGATGTGACTGACCCAAAATGTTCCGCAATAAATATCGAAGCCCGAGAGTTTAAACCCAATCCTGGTGGTAGTTCCACCCATCACTTGACAGTGAGATTCGAATCTCAAGATAAGAATGAGAAACTCTTCGGAATGGGTCAATATCAGCAACCTTATCTGGATCTTAAAGGTTTAGACCTCGAACTCGCGCATCGAAATTCTCAGGCTAGTGTACCATTTGCACTCTCTTCGCGTGGTTATGGATTGTTATGGAATAACCCTTCCATTGGTCGTGCTGTGTTTGGCAAGAATATAATGTCGTTTGAAGCATACTCGACCTCATTCCTCGATTATTGGGTGGTGGCAGGTGACAGTCCTGCTGAGATTGTGCATCGTTATGCTGGGGTGACAGGTACGGTTCCAATGATGCCAGAATATGGATTGGGATTCTGGCAGTGTAAATTACGGTATCAAACACAAGAGGAGCTATTGGAAGTAGCCAGGGAGTACAAGAGAAGAGAATTACCCATCGATCTCATCGTGATAGACTTCTTTCACTGGCCCAGACAAGGTGATTGGAGATTTGATGAGAACTTTTGGCCGGATCCTGGTGCGATGATTCAGGAACTCAAGGACATGAACATCGAGCTTATGGTATCTGTTTGGCCAACGGTTGATACGCGCTCCGAGAACTTTGAAGAAATGCTCGAAAGAGGATACTTGGTACGAACAGATAGAGGTATTAGAATCGTGATGGATTTTGAGGGTAACACGATTCACTTTGATGCTACGAATCCAGGTGCCAGGAATTATATCTGGGAGAAAGCGAAGAAGAACTATTATGATAAAGGGATTAAGGTTTTTTGGTTGGATGAAGCTGGTCAGCATTTTCATTGTCTCTGTTGGCGTCCTTCGGCTGCCGAATTTACAGTAAGCTGGATGTGAATACAGCTGACCTTTACTTCAGAACCTGAATATACAGCCTATGACTTCGATAATTATCGATACCATCGTGGCACTAACCTTTCAATTGGCAACACCTACCCCGTTGAATACGCCCGAGCTTTCTACGAGGGTATGGGGGCAGCAGGACAAAAGAATATCGTCAATCTCCTCCGATGCGCATGGGCCGGATCTCAAAAATATGGCACACTAGTCTGGAGTGGCGACATTGCATCATCATGGTCTTCATTCAGAAATCAATTAGCTGCCGGTTTAAACATGGGTATTGCGGGGATTCCTTGGTGGACAACAGATATCGGTGGTTTTCACGGCGGAGATCCAAGTGATCCGGCCTTTCGAGAGTTATTCGTCAGGTGGTTTCAATGGGGGACTTTCTGTCCGGTCATGCGGCTACATGGGGATAGAGAGCCGAAACAACCAAAGGTTGGTGAAGGGGGTGGATCGACTTGTCTTAGTGGTGCCCCTAATGAAGTTTGGTCGTATGGGGAGGAGGTATATGAGATATGCAAGAAGTATATGGGTATTCGAGAGAAAATGCGAGGCTATATACGAGAGCTGATGGCAGAGGCTAGTAGTAAGGGAAGTCCGGTTATGCGTCCTCTCTTCTACGAGTTCCCAAATGATAAACGGTGTTGGGAGATTGAAGAACAATATATGTTTGGGTCGAAATATTTGGTATGTCCGGTGTTTGAGGCTGGAGCGAAACATATAATGGTTTATTTGCCGGCGGGGGCTCAGTGGTTGAGTGGTCATGACGAGGAGGAGTGTTGGAGTGGAGGGCAGGAAATTGAAGTGACTTGCTCTATTGTCACTATGCCCGTGTTCATCAAGAAGTGTTAGGGTCAAGGATAAAGTCAAATGACAAGTGTTACCACGTTTTGACCCTTTTTGTGTGAACGATACTTTGATCAATCGTTATTGATTATTAAACAGGGAGGTGCTATTCGCAGTGAAGATAAATATATGAAGGAACACTCTATGGTCTTGTGATATGGATACAGATTCTAAAAGCTAGAACTATAAGCTAGCTTTCCCACGACTCTCAAATGGCAATATCAAAACCAGTAATCCTGCTGCAATGAATAGAGCTCCGCTTGTGTATACGGGTGCGGAAGTTTCAAGATTGGCGAACATCGCAATGATTGGCTTGGTCTGATTAGTCCACGTCGATACTAGTACAGTTGCGGAGATGCAAATCGAAGAGAAAGAGAGGGGACTCACAGCCATAATCCCAAATATTCTGTTCGAGGTTGCAGTGAGAGCATTGCCCGTACCGCGATCTTTCGTTGGAAAGATCTCCGGTGTATATGCATACAGAACAGCATACATCACATTGGAGCAAAAATTAAAAGCGCAATTCCAGCCCAATAATGCCGTAGATGTCATCGCCGTGGTTGAAGCGTACAAAAACGCCCCCGTAGCTATCGTGCTCAGAGAAAGAGTCCCTTTCCTACCTAATCTTGGGACCTCAACAAGGTAACCGCCAATCAGAGCCCCGGGAATCCCAAGCACAGATATGATTAATGAGTTCCGATATGTCAAATAAGTACTCCCATCCCCAAATTCAGCACCTCGAGTTGCTTGTATATAAGGGAGAAATGCGTTGTAAAGGGGATATCCGAGACCAATAAATGCCCATACTAACATGATCAAACTTGTGGAAAATGCCAGTTCCTTGGTCGCAAATAAGGCGCGGACATGAGATAAGTCCATTTGATGGAGTTTTCTTGATAAAGTTGCCGAAGCGTTGATATGAGGAAGAGTGCCACACTCTTGAAGGCGTGTAATGGTAACTAGAGAGGTTTAGTATATACCTCCAAGGCGAAAATGAATGGATTGTGATATACTCACGATTCGACTGCTTCCCATTTCTCCTCGCAACTTCCCGCACAACCTTGACAGCCTCTTCATCTCTCCCCTTCCCCATGAGAAATTTCGGACTCTCAAAGATCGTAAAACAAATGAATCGGATGAAGAACTCAATCATAGAAATCCCTCCCATAACAATAAGAAAATATCTCCATCCCATATTTTGTGATCGAGTGCATGTTGAATCTTCTTGACATGTGAGATTTCCTAAAAGTGGCCAAGCAATCAAATTCGCCACGACTTGAGCTACAGCCCAGTCGACTGAGAGAATAGTAAGAAGGTATTGATGAGAGCCAGGCAGAAATTCGAGGAAGACAGCTGAATCGACAGGAAGATTTCCACCCACCCCGAAACTCCAAAGTGCAGCAAAACATCCAAGAGCTACAAAGTTTGGTGAGCCGGCAGCGATCAATCCAAAAACCGCCGTGATACCAAGTGTAGCATTAAACGCTAAACGTCGACCAAAAATATCGCAACCAAATCCCCAAAACATAGCGCCGGCAAGGAGGCCGATGTTCTGGGCCAGAGTGAGTAAAGGTGGATGCTTGGGGGTGAATTCATTGGTAATCGAAGTGACTGAATCCATTATTAGCTCAAAGATTTGATGATAAAAGGAGAGAGTTGCAATAGATTTTCTTTTACATATAAGTGATGTGACAATTGGCCATAAATTATCATTTGCCCAACCAAAGCCCACGACGATAAAAAGTTGCCATTGATACCATCCCATCCCTATATCCTGAATCTGAATGATAATATATGATTAGTATCCATCTTATTGACCAGAACTAGCTGACAGCATTGAGGTATTCAGTCTTACAGCTTCATTTAAAACTCGAGCTTTAGCTTCATATATTGGATCGATCGTTCCAGGTGGTATTGCGGTATCAAAATTGAGACTCTCAACTTCCGACTGGGGAAGGTAATTATTGTTGGTACTTCCATCTTTAACGTCAGGCTCTACTACATCGTGCTCAGTTGAGGATGCATGAAGGTTATCATGATGGATTTCGTTCGCCATCTCAGCTTCTTCGCTGGTCGGTACTCTCTGATACTTCATAGGGGAATGCTGAAATCAGAGAAGAAGGTTTCAAGAGATATATTTTAGAAAACCAAGGTTAAATTAGTTGTTCGCCTGATGTATGTTGTGCAAAACCTTTGCTCATGCTGTAGAACAAGTGAATTGAGAGAAGGGGGGGTAGAAGGGGTAGAACGGGTATCGGATATTAGGTCTTTTGGGGTTTTCAAGACTGGATGTCATATTAGAGTTTATGAGACATTCGTCCGTGGGGTAATAATCGCATCATATCAGCCCCGGATTGACCTTAACAAGCAGTGATTAGCATTTACCTATCATCTAATCTAACATGTTCAAGAAAGAATGTCAGAAAATGAGATATACTCGTACAGTACCGGTCGGTATTCATTCATTCATTCATTCTGAGGGGGTGTTTCAATAAAGTTGTGGGTATCTCTATAAAATATGTGTGGAAGTGTGGAGTCGTGGAGTCAATACCTATCTGTCTACCTATCTCTCTCTACTCAAGTACTCAGTACAACGACAAACAATACGAGATTCATTTATTGACATCCTGCTCAGCTATGCATTCAATATTGGTTTGTGAAGTTATCTACGAGATCTCATCTGATGATCTTTCAAGCTAAACATTCTAAAGACTTTCAATCTTTCCAGCGACATTCAAACGAACAATCATTCCTACAACAACCACGATTTATCATTCCCCCAAATATATTAAACTTGTCACAGTCCCTCGTTGTCCATCGTTACTCAGCTGCGATAATGCTATACACATAATACGGTGGGTGAAAGTCAGGGGAAGATCATGAGAGGGGCTTCCATAGCATGGTTAGAAAGTTCTCTCAAGATTTTACGTCATTTCCACGAAAGAGCGATCACATCTCCCCGAGGGATCGCGATCATTGCCAAAATCTTGAGCATCATACCTTTCACTGTGGAAATTATATCAGGAGAACGAGGTAAAGCCTCCGTCGTCTCGCCATGAAGGGGCCTAGGTTTAGGCTTTGGTCAACAATCTTCACGAACTGCTGAATGGTGAATTGTTTCATCCTTCATACCACTACAGGTCCAACAAGTCCACTAATTTGAGATGAACTGTATGCATATTCCAAATCAATACGGCGAGGTGATGGGGCAAGTTACTAGTCAATTTTACTGCTGGATCGGGACTTTTACCTTTTGTTAGGATCAACGGCGGTGGCGAGCTTTCTTGGTGGATTGCTCAACGGAACGAAGAACAGAGTACTTCTGACTTACTCATAGATGCTGGTTTGACAGTATCACAGGCACAAGTTCACTGTCAACATTATCGAATACCGGTTACCTAAAAACCAAAATTCATGGTTTGTTGGGTTAGGATTTGGGTTGACTGTATCAACTGTGCCGATGCCAGTAGGTACCCTCATCTATTCGTCCACGATAATCTGGCTGACATTATGAATATAGTCAAATTGCGAGCCATTAGTCAGAGATCACGCAGTAGCTCACGGCATCACCTCCCACGAAGCATATGAATTGAAGCCAGTACAGCTATTCTAGGTTGGGCGAAACAGCTGGCTGGAATCGTGACGACAGACAGCTAGCCTTGCTTGAGTCTCCATCAAAGTCCATGACTTATGCCCAAATCCATGCAGTACGACTGGCTTACTCCAACCAATTCCTTAATGAGGATATGAAAGTATGTGCAATCATTTCAGGCGTCTGGTTTGTTGTGACGATATGAACGTGGAAGGAGGGAGAATCCGGTTAGCATTGAGCAGAGAGTCGAAAAACAGGCTGCTGAAGAAGAGAGACTCAAAGAGGTAATTTAAGTTGCAGGCGAAGTGGAATCATGATCATTGGATATCGTAGAGATAGCTCTACTACTGGACTCTAGTGAATCTATGTTATCTATGTTATCCTAGTTTCATTTGATAATCCGATTGTTCGTTATTTGAGATGACGTGTCTGTGGTTCAATCTTCTACATCGTCTACCTTTATAGGATAGAAGATACCGTTATCACCATTCTTGGATGAGGACGGATGATCTTTCTTTTTTTTTATCCGGTAAGGTTATGTGTCTCGGCAATTGCACCTAGAGATGTTTCTGCCAAAAATGAACCCGATCATCGTCCCCCCGCATCGGGAAGCTCATTAAGTTGATCCCGCCATTTTCATATATTATCATCATGAGTGATGTTATCGCTATCGTCTTCTCAAATTCCATACTTATTTTTCTCTGCTACCACAAGCGTGGGGTGATGAAGCCTGCATCAATAATGTATTGTGAACCATTTTTTATCTATACAATGTACGACGCTGCTTGGCAATTTGAAAGTTTTGTACAAATCTAAAATCTTGTACAAAATCTACTCTGGTGACCTGCGTGCATTTCTCTTCATATGCACAATGGATCCTCTCGACAACCTAGAGAAAACCATCGACAACGCCGATGTAAATGTTCTCCAAACCTCAACCTCCGAAATTCAGGCTGGAACTATCATAACGGTGGATCTTCGAGATGTAGATGAGGCATTTACATCTCTATCTGCTCATCCCAGGGCAGCTGATCTCACGATTGAGGGAAATGCTATTCTAGAGGATCCTCTACAAAGCAAAAGGTTAATCAAAAAGATTGACCTAACCATGCCTCCCTTGCTGGCTGCAGTTTACTTTCTGCAGTATCTGGACAAAACTACACTCTCATATGCATCTGTCATGGGGATTCGAGAGGATACAAATCTTGTTGGACAGGTATTAAACTATTGGGCCATTATTTGAGTTGGAGTCAATCAATACTGATATATTCTTGTTAGGACTTATTCCGTTATATCCCTGCTGTTTTATCTAGGCTTTCTCATTGCAGAATTCCCCACACAGTATATTACTCAACGAATCTCTCGTCTAGGCCTTTATCTCGGAGTAAACATAATGTTATGGGGTTTGGTCCTGGGCTGCCATGCTGCATGCACATCCTACGTTGGTCTTGCGGTTTGTCGTTTCCTACTGGGTGTATTCGAATCATGCGTTGCACCAATTCTTGTTCTCATTGTTTCTATCTGGTACCACAAAGAAGAACAGGGCCGCCGCGTATCCTGGTTCTATGTCTGTAACTCGTTGACGCAGATCGTTGGTGGGTTATTGGCTTATGGAATTAGTTTTGTGAATACAAAATTCGCGAGCTGGAGAATATTTTTCGTGGTAATTGGTGGGTTGACGATGATGGTTGGTTTGTTAGTTTGCGTGTTTTTACCCGACTCACTGGTGAAAGCGAAAAGATTTAGTGATGCTGAAAAGGTGGCGGTTTTGATGAGAGTTAAGGATAATCAGAGGTATGTCGAAGATGGGAGATTGGTCCTGAATATTGGATCTAACGAGTCTAGTGGAACACAGAATTGCCCACTTCAAAAAGCATCAATTGTTCGAAACATTTCAAGACGTTCGAGTCTGGATAGTATGCATCTGTACACTTCTCAGCTCTATTCCCAATGGAGGTCTTTCCAACTTCAGTAGTAAATATTCATTGGGAAAAACTCAAATGAAAGCTTGAAAACCATAACTGGATGAGATGATCAAAGGCATATTAACAAATCACACATATGCCAATAACTTTTTGGATATCCAGTACGCAGGTTGATCACTAATGGCTATTTAAACCGATTAACTATTTAGGTGACTTTATGAATCTGTTGGAACATCAACCCGCCTGGAACTTTCAGAAATTCACGTTTCTAAACTAGACCGTATCATCAGAAGCTTCCCAGGCTATCAATGCGATATGCTCGCAACTTGCGTGGATGTTGTATTCGCCTTCTCGTATTACAAGATCTGCCTTGAAGAGAAGGTGGACTGACGATGAATTTTGAAGATGTCGACAGTTCTTCCGGTTTTTGTTCCTCATCTTCGTTTCCCTTTTCCTTTTCTTCATATTCAGACTCGGAGGATCCACTGGTTATAACGTCTGGCGGGTCCTCCCACTGTTTCTGGATTTCTTTTAATCGAGACTCTACATACTTATCCCCTCCTCCGAAGGTATCCTTCATACCGTATGGTCCAGGCATGAAGACCCACTCGTCTACATGAATTGGTTGACCAATATCCCCTATCACACTTATATCATCTGGCGACCAGTACCACTCCGAGTTTTGTAACCAATCATCCATCGGTCGTTCTACAGTCCAGAACTCTTTAGTCCATAGGCGATCTTCATTCTTAATAAACGGGCCTTGTTTTTTGTGAAGATGTGACTTGACGTACCGGCGAATAGTCCGCTTCATCCTACGTCGTCTGATTAACTCCTGTCGCACATGCGTTCCAAAATAAGACTTACCTGGCATGATCGTTGACTCTATCGGGAGGTATCTCAACCCCCACCCCCACGATAAGGTCACCATAAGATGTAATCCAGCCTACAAACCTTAAATTAGTACATGAACTTCTTTCAAACATCGGTGACAGGGTCCAGGCTTGGGTTGAAGTTTTCAGTCTTGTTCACCCCCTCGTATACAGGGGTGAAAGCTTTCAGTATCGCAGAAAACTGTCGAAATGTGATTGCCGTTCAAACCAAATTGAATATAACAAATGGATTCTTGTATGTACAATCCATCAGTCTGGACTGCTGGAAGTCACCCACAACGTGTAGAAGAAAGTAATGGCCTTACTTACTATCGACCCATAGCGGTGACAAAACAGCCAAATCCGGCATAGCAGCCTTAAAGCAATCCGCCACAATATTTTTAAATAAATAAGAAGAACAAAGAAATGTTCTCCGTGTGAGTATTTTATATGCTTGAGGATGTTCTATTACTGTATGACCAAGGGAAGTAATGAACTTCTTTTCAATATCGATGAATTCCGGTTCCTGGAAGTAAACTTTACTAGCTGGAATATCAAATTTCTGTCCTGTGAAAGTTAAGTACTTGTTTGACAGAAAGGGAATGAGGATAACGATAAAATCGGAGTTTTGAGAGGGAATGCTTACTTAAGATATCAATCCAACACTCAAAAGCAACGACCTGAGTCATTCGTATAAGATTGTCTGTTGGCCGCCCCACCCTGTAGACAGAGTACTCATGGTCATATTTCCAAGAACTCTCCGGGTCACCTGCAATCGACCCGATACCCATAAATATTGCAGAATCCACCACCAACTTCAGTGGAAAGATTGTGCTTTTGATCCAACCTTCTTGACTGGCGTAGACTTTTGATTCTTTCCATTGCCGAGTAAATTCATCATGTATAGCTAACATGCCAGCGAGCTGTTCAGCTTCGGTCTTGTGTCTAGCAGCCATTCCTGACACTTGTTCGAGATAAACTCTTGAATGGTTTCCCAAACTCGAATTGTCTTTCTGTGTTATGGGTAAGTATACAAGACAAAATATAAGAATATATAGTCTAACACTAACATGAAATCATGAATTGGCGTGGCAAGTCCCAGAATGCTAAAATAGATAAAACAAATTGGAAATATCATAAAGGAATCGACAATAAGACTGTGCGTACTAAGTTCAGATGCGGCGATTGTTGGTAACAAAGGCTATTTAGTAGAAAATGAATCATGTACCATGAGTCAATTGGCTTTCAGATCTCACAAGGAAAGAACCCAAGTATTCCAATCTCCTACGAAGGGAGTAGTACGGTATCACATTACACATTAGACTTCCATGACAAAATTGTGTTAGGTACCGGTGCTTATGCTTATAGGATGACTAGATACGATGGACGAAAGGAACTTTTACCCTTGCGTACAACACCATTGATGGTTATATATAAGTGCACAACTAGAAACGTCACTAGACTTTCATATCGTCAAGCAGTATAAACATTCTGCAGATCTATCTATAATGAAGAATGATTGTTCTTTGGGAGAAAATATCCACTCGGAACTTCCCCTCAGATTCCATATACTGGATAATTTTCGCTATGAAAAGTGCCGAGGTTTGAACTTAATACAACGAGCAGCTTTGAAGGTTCATTAATTATTGGTACATTCCTTCTCAAATCCTAACGATTCACCGCATGCCAAAAAGAAACCACATCTTTGTACATTTGACAAAATTCAAAAGTCCGTAACCCTTCCATTATAACTCCAATCCCCCTTCTCACCGGAACTCCCCCACCTTAGAGGTTCATTCTTTGGTCCACCAACCTCTCCCGTATTCGGATTGATATCGCCTTCAAACTCTGGCTTTGCACCTCTTCGAATATCCGGATGTAATTCCTCTCCCTTTCCTGTAGCAGATACCCTAGCATTAACCGCAGCTAACTCTATATCCTCCTTTTCGGCAGCAGTGGTGGCGGGTGATTGATTTATTTGAGGTTTTGCTCGCGATGAAGACTTTAAGGTATTGATGACGACTTCGGGCTTTGGGGTACTAAAAGCACCAGTAGAGGATCGCTGTAGACGTTCGAATTCTTCCTGTTCCTTTAATGGCAGACGTGGTGGCGAAGGGCCAGCTGCAAATGCTGTTCGACAAGTCGTTTGTGAGAAGAAGCGACGGGAAGGAAAGAGAGATCTTGATGGCAGAAGTCGTGACATTTTTTTTATTGTTATTGAGTAAAAGGATATGAATTATTTGTTTGTCTAGAAATCGAAAACTTTACTACAAGTAATTGATATTTGTATTGGTACGCTTATTGTCGTGGCGAGGAAGAGGATTCCGAGGTCATACCGAAGAACTGGAAAATCCAGAGGAAGTCAGAGGAAGTCGGAGGAGTCGGAGGAGTCGGAGGAAGTTATGACGAAGGCTTAATATATTCACTTGGCAATAGATTGCGAGATGGAGAATAGTGTTTGTTTGATAAGTGATTGATAGGAAGAGGAAGTCAACTGGACTGGCAAGAGATTGCGAGATAGAGAAGCCCCCGGAAGTCAAATTATTAGTGAGGGGGCGACGGCGGGTATGTTGTATAGTGTTTGTTTGTTTGTCTAGAAATCGAAAACTTTATAAGTTACAAGTGATTGATATCTATCCATCTGTATTGGTGTGTTTATGATAGCGGGGAAGAGGAAGAAGGCAAGAGATTGCGAGATGGAGAGATGGAGAAGCCCCCCGGTAAGTCAAATTATTATGCCAAAGGCGGTGACTAAAATTAGCGATAATTAGTGAGGGGGCGACGGTTTTGAACTCACTTTTTTGAGTGATCAATAAGAAATACCTACCTATATATACGAGTATATACAAGAAATAAATCTTTTAAAGTTACTTCTCTTCATACTCTTATCTCCTATCTACTTTTACATTCCTATTTATAATTCAAAACATGGAACATTTAAAGAATACCTTTGCACAATGCAAGAAGGAAGGAAGGTCCGCATTGGTAACGTATATCACTGCGGGCTTTCCTCTACCAGAGGATACTGTTGATATCATGCTTGGTATGGAGGCTGGTGGTGCCGGTGAGTAATATACAATCTTTAATTGATCTTATGGACACTGAACAATATTCGCAGATATCATTGAATTAGGCATTCCTTTCTCAGACCCTACCGCAGACGGACCCACGATTCAGAGAGCGAATACTCAAGCTTTGAACAATGGCGTAACGGTCACTTCGGTTTTACAAATGGTACGGGATGCGCGGAAATTGGGACTGAGGGCTCCAGTTCTTTTCATGGGTTATTACAATCCCTTTTTGAGTTATGGAGAGGAAAAGTTATTGAAGGACTGTCGAGAAGCTGGCGTTAATGGTTTCATTATTTGTGATCTTCCACCCGAAGAAGCTGTGAGCTTCAGGAAGTTTTGCACAAGTGAAGGGTGAGTTTGAAACAATCTCAATTGTCGCGTTTGAATCTGTTGCTAACAATCGTTATTGCATAGATTATCCTACGTCCCTCTCATCGCTCCTTCGACTTCCGAATCTCGAATGAAGCTTCTCTGTAAGCTTGCGGACTCCTTCATTTATGTCGTTTCAAAAATGGGCGTGACGGGAGCTACAGGAGGTACAATGAATGCTGGACTGGGCGATTTGTTGAGAAGAGTAAAGGAATGTTCAGGGAACGTTCCAGCCGCGGTAGGATTTGGGGTTAGCACAAGAGATCATTTCTTAAGTGTGGCAAAAATCGCAGATGGAGTTGTTATTGGCAGTCAAATCATCACCACCGTTAATGAAGCACCTGCTGGCAAAATCGCGAAGAGCGTTGAAGAATATTGTGCGGAAGTTTCCGGAAGACGAGGTGCTCCTAATGAGGGTCTGACTAGGGAGGTTGGTATCATCGAGACAATGGATGCTGCCCACGAGCCTAGCGGAGAGAATGTCACCGTTGATGCTATCATTCGAGATGAAGATAGATCAGGTCCTGGTTTAGCAGATCAGATTGAAGCCTTGAATACGAAAGGCCCTGTCGATCCAAAACTAGCATCACCACAAAAGTTTGGAGAATTTGGTGGACAATATGTACCAGAGTCTCTCATGGATTCTTTATCAGAACTTGAGGCGGGATTCAACGCAATCAAGGATGATCCAGCATTCTGGGAAGAATACCGAACATATTACCCATGGATGGGACGACCAGGTCAATTACACGAGGCAGAAAGACTTACCGAGTATGCGGGTGGTGCCAAGATTTGGTTGAAGAGAGAGGATCTGAACCACACGGGAAGTCACAAGATCAATAATGCTTTGGGACAAATCCTTCTTGCACGACGATTAGGGAAGACCGAGATTATCGCAGAGACTGGTGCGGGACAGCACGGTGTGGCCACAGCGACCGTTTGTGCAAAGTTCGGTATGAAATGTACTATCTATATGGGAGCCGTAAGTCCAAGCAATCTTTCCCATGATATTCCTCATTGTAGTACTGATCAAATTTATAGGAAGACGTAAGACGACAAGCTCTCAATGTTTTCAGAATTAAGCTTCTCGGGGCTACAGTCATCGCAGTCGAAGCTGGTTCCCGTACTCTTAGAGATGCTGTCAACGAAGCCATGCGCTCTTGGGTTGTCAAGCTTGACACCACTCATTACATTATTGGATCTGCAATTGGTCCTCATCCGTTCCCAACCATCGTCCGAACGTTTCAATCTGTTATCGGTAACGAGACTCGGGCTCAAATGCTAGAGAAACGCGGTAAACTCCCTGATGCTGTCGTTGCATGTGTTGGAGGTGGTAGTAATGCTGTCGGCATGTTTTACCCTTTTTCGAAAGACCCAAGTGTTAAATTATTAGGTGTTGAAGCCGGAGGTGATGGTTTAGACACAGATCGACATTCCGCTACTCTGTCGGGTGGCACTAAAGGTGTTTTACATGGTGTCCGTACATATGTCCTTCAAGACAAATACGGACAAATTTCAGATACTCATTCGGTCTCTGCTGGTCTAGATTACCCAGGTGTTGGACCAGAATTAAGTAACTGGAAAGATAGTGAGCGCGCCAAATTCATCGCGGCAACGGATGCTGAGGCATTCAAAGGGTTCAGATTGATCAGTGAGAAAGAAGGTATTATTCCGGCTTTGGAAACTGCGCATGCGGTATGGGGGGCAGTAGAATTGGCAAAGACCATGAACAAAGATCAAGATGTCGTCATTTGTCTAAGTGGTAGAGGTGATAAGGATGTACAGAGTGTTGCAGAAGAACTGCCCAAGTTGGGTCCGGAAATTGGATGGGATTTGAGATTTTAGATACAGGATTTGGGAATTGAGGGCGTTTCAACGGACTTGTAAATATTCAGAGATTTCATGGGTGTGAATAGATTGTTAGACTGGAAAATGTTTTTCTCTCTCTCGTACAATGAACACACTTGTTGATCGAGGCTACGCAAGCTCACTTGCTAGCCACGCTCTCAAGCCTTTGCTTTCCACCCCACGGATACCTTTCGGGACTCCGACTCCCACTAGCCAACCTCGACTGAGTCCTCGCACTACTCGAAAACATTCGATAAACTAACCCTTGACAAGCTTTCTGGGATGTTAAGATGTACAAAACTAAATTCCAAAAACCTTGCAGCGACAACACCAATGATTCAATATAATTCAGCGGGAAGTTAATGTCCTTGGGGTTCGCCATCTGCCAGATTCTATTGACACTTGCGGGAATCCATGTAAGAATCATGGCAATGAAGAAAAGGATGGCCACTCGTGCATATAACCATGCTTCCGGATCTGTTCCAGATTCTGCAACTTCCCTGGTGAAACTTCTCATTCTCCGCATTTGAGTTTCTCGTTGCTGAGGCGTCGCTTGAATGTCAACCTCATATTGGTCGGAGGCTAGAGTACTTTCGGAGACGCCTTGATCGCTAGCATCTTTGACGATTGATCGTTCCTCATAAGTTATTTCGATTTCGGTCGTGACAGTGTTTGCAAACGGGTTTTCGTTCAAGGGGTTGAGGAAGCCATTCAGATGTTCACGCTTAGACCAAATGACTTTGGCGGCCATATAGTATATGACGAAGGCGAAGAGAATTGTGATCCTACCAAATTCACATTAGTGAATGTGATTGAATTGGAGAAGGATAGTAGCTACTCACCAGACAATCCCATACAGAAAGACCAATCGCATCCAATCCCATCTCTCGCTGATCCAGCACCAAACAATGGCTGATCCGTAGACATGACCTCGTTCTTTTGTCGATATGAATAAGAAAACAAAAGCTGGTATGAATGAAAGTCCATAGCATGCAATCAAGTAATAAATGTCCAATCTTCTTACTTGGTGTGTGTTATATCCCCGAAAGAAAATTAGGTATACGTTGATAGCCATAAAGAAAGCCCAATAACAGTCAACTCCACGAAACATCTGAACCAAGAAGCCTTGGACTTGACATATTCCGGAGACATCAAATTTCGAGTGATTAGCCAATGACGCCGGGCCAAGTTCAGAAATCAGACAAGAGATACTAGAGCCAATATTCCCCCACGATGCATAGAAAATGAGGCGATTGATTGGTTTGTCGAAAGATGAACAGAAAAAGAATGTGAGGATTATGAATAGGTTACCGATGATGGAAACAACTGATGTAACTCGCTCTGTGATGTCAAGTGCGTGAAATTGGGCAGATGTCAACGACATGATAGGCGAGGTTTAATTTCTTCGAAAGGAGAGAAGAATCAGAAGGTGCACAGCATCTTCTATAATGGGGTGCAATGGTGATCTTCAGGAGTCATTTTGAATGTTGAATGTGGGGATAACTATAAGAAAGGCATAATTGAAGGAAAGTTTTTATGTGTGGAGACAGTGTAATGACATGTAATTCATAGGAGCTATTCTTGAACAGATAAGAAGATACTACATTGATTCCAATTGTGTAACCCATGTGTAGAACAAGGGAAGGTCGTATATTTAAAGTTTTTTGAAAACCTTAAAAGCAGGACACCGATGAAACCCCGATATGATTGATGCAGTGTAAATCATCGGTAAAGCACCGGCGAGGTGTTCTTCTCCAAATGAGAAGCAAACTCCGGTACATGCGTCGACGAGGTCAAAATTGAATTTTCTTTTTTAGCGTTCCTTGGGGGTTGCCCCGGATTCATCCCAAATGACTACGTTCGGTAGAATTGAGGTATGTTCCAAAGTTTATTACTATTGCAGAACATAACCGAGACAGGGAAGTTGGAGATGTTCGTTGATGTTGATGAGGTGCAATTGATATCTGTAAGTTGATAATACAGGATGGATGTTGAATTGTGCATTGATAAATACGCTTACTAATATGTACTAGATAAGCGAGCGTGGAGTGAAGTTAGACTACGTACCTAGGTCTTGGACAACTTCTCATTTTAACTTTGATTCAACGCATACATACATTTCGGGCTTCACAACTTTTACGATATCAGGGTCGTCAGCACAAGAATTCGAGCAAATCGTCGAAGATGTTGACGATGATATAGAGGCCCTCTACGATTGGATCATAAAACCATGCACTCTACTTTTCCAACAAGATTCAAGCCTTTGAGCTTACAGGAATATTTTTGGCCCGCAGCGAAGTTCAGTCTTAGCAGATTGGCTGATGTCAATCGAGAGCCGAAAATAGAGCTACTGCCTTTTGGTACCAAAATAGAAGCTCAATTCACGCCAAATATCTCATTCCCCCCAAACAACTTCTATCCAGATGTAAAACAAAACGCTTCATCCAAGACCATTCTCATACTAAATCCTCTTTCAATAGAGTTTGCATTGACTCACGGACCATCGAAAGTGCTCGTGGAATGCTATCTTAACGAAGCTCTGGATAGAAAGAGTTTGGAAAGGGAGATCGGAATTCTATTCAAGCTAAAGAATACCGTTTTGGGGAAGGGAAATCGAATTCCACAACTCTATATTGTTATTCAAGATACTTCGGATGGTCCTATACTCGATTTCCTCACACATTTTATCAAAGGGAAACATTACCAGATGTGATGGAAAAGTCGTCAGCATTCTTGAAACACTTGCAACTCAACTCCAAGAAACTGTGGACGAAATTCATCGAGAAGGCATCGTCTGGGGGGATGCGATAATATCCTCGTCGATCAAAATGATAATCTGTTAATGTCGGATTTCAATGGAGGTTATACAGAAGGCTGGGTGGCAGCTGAGCATATCGATACAGTTATTGATGATAATATTGCGACTGCAAACAGTGTATGAAATATTTCATCCTCCTCCTCTTCCATCTTATCCCAGGCCTAGAATGAAGCTGCTATATCCTATTGATTCTGTAAATATCCTCATCCTGCCTAGCCTTTGAAAAGGTCATATTTAATCTCATCCTAATTAAAGGATATAGTAAATATCATACAGCTTATCGAAATATAGATAATATTATATGACTATAAACAAAACAGATGATATCGTATGAAAATCATATAAATTCGTATAAATATTATCATCCTATTAGCTTCCATTCTGTTCTAGATTTTATATATTCTACTACAGTCTCTAAAAAACTTGAAACTCTTTAAGGAATATATAATACTTTGTAGTGCTATATATAACAAGTCATGATTATAGTCGAGGATTTACCGAAATTGAAGCTAAATCTTTATTATTATTAATACTAAGAATGAAGCTAAAGCGTAGCTATTGTTATTGTTTTAAATGACGCCTAGAGTAAAGGAGATTAGTGTTTTTGAGTTATAATCGACTTTGAATTGCTGGAAAACGCTTTCAAACGATGTGAAGTCTTCAGCACGAGTCTTACTGGCATTTATCTATTACTGAACATATTCTTGACGAATTTTAGTCTGGTCAATCGTTTCTTACGCATTCGAAGCATCTTCAATGAAGTTTCAGCTGACTGACTGCATAGAAGCTTCTTGAACGGAATTGTTGCCACCAGGTTCTTGCTCGAGGTCGATTTTTGATAGTACGGTACTGGTACCGAACACCGATATATATTATTTGCATACATCAACTCTACCTATGCATGGAAATGAAAGGCCCCCATGGCTAGCTTGCCATGGGTTCCACGTTTCACAATCTTCCAGGGATTACAATCCCCACACAACCCCAACTCATCCCAAATTCAAGCGCCTGCCAAAGTTTAGCCTCTTTGCAATTTCGAGAAAACATCCCCCACTAATCCCTACTCCCTACACATTCACCAAACCATTTCGTCTGAAATAAATTACAAATAAAGTTTCTATAATTATTTGATCAATTAATCACTATGTTGTTTTGAAGATTTTGCTTCTTCAGCGTTTTGTTTCATTTCCAAACTTCGTACCGGCTATTTGTGCAAGATATAGCTCCTCGCTACTTCCCTTTAACGATATACCACCAATAATTTTTATAACAAACATCGTTCGGCTTATTACCACATATTGATAGTGAAGGAGACATCCCCTTCCACCTATTTACCTCAGGCTTTTTCACAAATTTGACTTTTAGATTCCTTAAAAATGTCGTCTCTCCATCAATCTCAAAGTATGTGGCTGCGGTGAACAGCGTTGGATGAGGACTATGCGCCAGGTAGCTGATGGTCGGGTACCAGCTCGCTTGTTCGTCTACCGAAAACCTGGAGTGGAAAGCTGCTACCAGATCTGGTGTCCTGTAGCCTTCGGTATCGATGTATGCGTGATAGGACCTCTCCAAGAGATGAGGAAGACTTTTCGTCCTGCCTTGGTACACATGACACAGCATTGAAGTGTGTGTGGATTCTGTGAACTTTGGGACACATTTAGACCCACAAACGACAAATAAAGCGTTGATAGCATTGGCAGAAGATGCAATAGCTCTTCAAATGCAGGAATAGAAGAGAATTCTGCCCCAGCTCAGCCTATAATGTGAAGGTTGATTGAATCCCGAGCGCTGACATTGTGGATTGTTGCCTCCAGGGCAGCAATTAAGGTAAGCTAAATTGTTGTCGTATTGGTACCACATCTCATAAGCTCGACAAACTCTCGCTCTTTGTGGTCGGATGACAAGTAATTCAGATCTCTGTTCATTTTGAATTTCAAGCCACCCTTATCTGAGAGTATTGTATGGTACTCATACCAGTCTTTTATGGAAGAGAGAGGAGAATATTGCTTTTTTGGTGTTTGAGTGAAACAAATAGTCGACCAGTTTCCTGTTCGCCGGTGGAGATCTACCGCAACCCTTTCGTCGGTCGTAATATCTCTCAAAATGCCACATTCAGCCGATGGATGAGTCTGTGGACAGGAAGAGCAGAAGGAACCGAGGAGACAGTATTGGCAAGCGTGTAATTTTGCCTTATCTTCGAGTTGGGATTCTCTTCTGTAACATTGAGAGCAATATGGTTCGTGGCTAATGAGGGTTGTCAGCTCAATAGTGATTCGGCTTGTTGGGGATCGGATCTCACTAGGGCTGGAAGACTAGACATACCCGATCCAACTCTCAAGCTCACAAGGATATGGAGCATTAGAATATAACAAGTGCTCCTTCACAAGATGTAAGAGTCTGCTCGCGCGTCTTGCCACATAAGCTCAATAACTTACTTGCTCGCCATAATAATCATTCCAGCGCCTACCAGCCGATGGCACATAACCCACCTGGTTGTTCAATGCAACACGCACCTTACAGATACGTTTATGATTTCTGTTCCAGTCTTCTTTTTGGCACTTTATTGAGCAGTAAGCGACTCGTTTGCAGGCGCTGCATCGACTGAGATTGGAGGTCACGTCCCAGCAGGAAAAGCATAGAGCTTGTTTGAAGGCCAAAGTTGGGGCTTTGAACAACTCAAAGTCCGGATCAGAACTGGATTGTTTGGATGCCATTGAAGTAGCCATTCCGGGTTGAAATGGAATATCGGGAGTTGTAATTAAATTTGGGTGAATATGTTGTGTGACTCCAGATACGTGGACCTATTGAAAATCGGTCGACTGCATATCATATACTGGGTTACTCACACACCCATATCTATATGAGATGCACATAAGCCTAAATGATACCCATGCCCGATGGAAGATATACAGCCAACAGGTCAATTATCAAACCTAGTGCATTCATTCACCTGAAGAATTTACATCGGTCTCGACTCTCGACTCTCAAGTGAGGCGATGGTGTTAGATACTTTAATTTTGAGATATATAAAAAATATACGTAGATCTAAATATTTATTTCATTTTTTTTGTCAAAAATAGAAATCATTCTATATATATTATTCTAATTTATAATCTAGAATTATCAAACTAAATCCATTGTCAATTTGAGTGTATTAAATGAAACGGATTAATTGAACTAATGCACTGATTCAACTGGTTAACTAATGACTATACTGCTTCTTTATAGGGGAAGAGGCACAAATCCTAATCCAAGAGAAAATGAAGATAAGTTGGTATTTTGTGCTATACGAGGCATAAAGCAAGGGGAAGAATTCACCACATTTTACATGGAGCCTATTGGTACGACTCTAGCTCGTCGAAAGCTATTGTTATCCAAGTATGGATTCAAATGCATGTGCAAAAGTTGCTTGAACAACAAAACCCTCACTGTCAATAGTGGACTCTCGAAGTATGCTTCTGTGATTGTTGCCAAAGAAACTGGCTCTAAAGTTCTCAACAAGCCAACTTTAGAAGAGATTCAAACCGCGGAAAAGGTCGACAATTGGTACGAGGATTTCCGGAGGGAAAGACTAAAGACGATTGAATGTATGAATTTGATCATATACGGTGATATAATTCGGAAACAAAGCTCCCAAGAGCGACGACAGCTCGTCATCGAGCGTTTACGGCAGGTTCTTGAGGATCACCTGAAAGAAAACAACCCGTTTGGATTGAGTGATGAGGTAATTTCTGCCTTCCGATATCGAACAAGGTCATTTAGTAGTTCAGGATGCGAAGGACTCTTTTTGCAGCTGGCTGTCTGAAGATATTGGGGGTTTCTCAAGTAGAATTTTGATTGTGGAAAGCGGGCTTGAGGGCTCAACATCGCTCGGCATTTTAACATTATGGCAAGTGGTCTATATCCATCATTGAGACTTGCGACTTGCGAGTCTATCTCTTGTACTATCCTCTGGCTCGATTCATGCATTCTTAACCAAGGGTTTGAGCAAGATATTAACGTGATATAATCTTTATGAACATAAGACTGAGAGTCAACGGTGGGTGATTACACAGAGCAGAAACAAATTTTGGCATAATCTTACGATTTCCCAAATAAGAAAACAGTTAAGTTTCGCTGCCATCGATCAAAAATCATGAAGATCAATTCCTCCATTTCCCTCATCTCTTTCCTTCTTGTGAGAGCTGTATATTATGTTCCGGATGTAAATCGCTTTTCAATCCATCCTTTACAAGCACCTATGAACATATGCATAGAATATTTCCAATTCATCACATCAAAAGGGCAGTCATACAACTACCTTATCTCCAGCGATCAATCGACTGCATACGAGTTGATACTCTAATTGCGGAACAGCACATTACGTGAGTATGACTTTTAACACGATGAGGCCTTCTTTACGATCAGAGATGCCAGTCAACCTTAAGGGGAAAGGATGAACAGCAGAGTTCGCGATACACAAAGCTGATGAGAGCCATGGCAAACAAAAAAGAGGACCAAATGCTGAAGAAAATCAATGCTGACAACACATCCTGCGAAGACAAGTAAGTACGCTTCAAAAAACACCACTGGGTGGCTTCGCAAGATAGAATAGAATCTATATTTGCAGTATTTTCTTCGACAAAATTAACACTCCTGGAGTATGCTAATATGGAACAAGCACCGAGACTGCCCAGTAATTGAATTTTCTATGCGTTCTGTACTAAATGGAAAGACCATTGGAAGTTTCGATCGTAGGTGATAATTGATAGAACAATTTGGTTCAACCTCTAATAGAATCTTGGTTCCCACTTGAGTTATTTTATCTCCAGAACGAGTGCGAACCGAGTGCCTCAACTTATCAGATTAACAAACCTCCCTATCTTCTTTGCGCGACAGTACGAAGCATTGAAGGTTTGGTTGGTTGTCCTCAGTCAAATTGACAAGCGAGAGACGTCGACACAAGGTAAGGATTACTAGGTGCCAAGCCAAATATAAATAATCCCTGCCAAATTATATCCAATCAATCTCAACCCTCCTACTACATATCAACTCGAGTAGATACATCAACAACAACCATTATTTTTGCCAACATCATCAATTCAACGCTCATTAACATCCACTACCTATAATCGCTATTCCCAGCCTCTCAACCTCATGACAACCCTGCTCCCAGATGATACCTCAACTACCACACGCCCTACAACCTTCCAAATAGGCACCGGGACCTCAATCTGGTCATCTCTCCTCCCAGAACTTCTCTCCACAAATCATGAACTCATTATCGTGACATGTTTCTGGGCTTCATCCTCAAGCCAACGAGACATTCATCAACTTCTTTTGAAACTATCAGAACGTGCTGTTCTAGAGCAAAGAATCATCCATATTCGGATCTGCTTTTCCTCTATTTCTCTGTTACAAAAGTTATTTCATACTGCGTCACCAGATGGGTATTTGTATCCTTCATCTCGATATCCTTCACTTGGACTTCCATCAGAGTTGGAAATACCGGGGTTGGACTTACGTGTCAAGTCTATATTCTTTCGAGCATGTCATGTTCTGCATGGGAAATATATTATACAGGATACTCGACAGGTTTGGTTCCCAAGTTGTAATGTAAGCTGGGAGGCATGGGGTGAGGGGTGTGTTGGATTCGAAGGAGGAGGGTTGGTGGATGATTTGAGGGGATACTGGGGTAGGATTTGGGATGGGGATGAACGGATGAGTATTCCCGGAATCTCGAGGACACCCGAGCTGGCAGAGAGAAGTCCAGAAGTACCTATTGAATTTGGAAACTCAGATGCACCATTGTTAGCTTCCATCAACCTATCACATCTATCACACAACACGGAAACAATTCTTCTTCCACATACTCACTCATTCTATAATCCATTTTCCGTCTTCTTCAACCCGAATGCAAAGACACCATCAACACCACTCAATACATTCCTCCTATCACACATCTCGACTGCCAAATCATCAATTTCAATCTATACCCCGAATCTTACCTATACTCCAGTCATCAACGCATTATGTGAAGCCATAGCTAGAGGAGTTGATGTACGAATTGTTGTATCAAGGAAATTGATGGTGCTCGAGCAAATAGTAACAGCCTGCACAATCACCGAATGGGAAGTATGGAAAATGAAACGTCGATACAGCAAGCTTGTATCTCGTTCATCACGAAGGTCCGACGATCCTGAAGCAGGATATGCAAGGATAGGAAATCTAGAGATTGTTTACTTCAATCCCGCTCTCGTCAATGTGAATGATTGCAACAATTCAACGACGAGGAGCGGTGATCCAGCGGCAAGAGGCATGGACGACATTGGAAAGGAGAGTCGGCCAGTCAAGCTCCATCTTAAGATGACGATAATCGACAACGATATTACAGTTCTTGGAAGTGGTAATATGGATCGGGCGAGCTGGGTGACGAGCCAGGAGTTGGGAATCGCGATCTTCTCCGAACAGATGTCTAGAAGATTGGTCGAAGTAGTGAGGGATGTTTATGGATGAAGGATTAAGGCACATTGAGGTTGGCTCGCAGGTCGTATAATTACAGAAGTGTGTATAAGCGGACCAGGAAAGGACAATTATTGAGGAGTATTGGCGCAGTGTTAAAATAAATAAAGGATATCATTGGATACGACAATTTAACTACCTTACCCCCTTCAATCTCTCGTTTAAACATGACAATTCGTTTATTCATATGCTATCAACACACTTGAGTATTCTTCCTTAACGCCTTCATATATGCATGACATCCATTAAATGCTCCTCAACTACCAAAAACGAAAACTTAAAATTCTTCCACCGCACAGTTAGGATGCAATACATAAACAGCCGGTTCTTCTGGCCTCGAACTACCTTCTCCATTCGCGCTATCTGCGTCAACTAATCCTTGACCACGAATTGCCATTAAAATATTTTCCTATAACACCTATTAGTTCTTGATTTACGGAGCTATATGCGACAACCTAAACAGGAAAAGGAGATTAAACCAGCGACGAACCTTGAGCATCCTCTTGATAATCTTCTTGCACAATTTCATTTCTTCATGATAGGCCTCTTCATCAGCCAGGTCATCCTCGACTTGTTCCAAATACCACTCTACCAACTTCTCTCCCTCAACTCCCTCACCACTTCCCAACTCATCTTCATTTATTCTTCGAACCAATAGGTTCACGACTCCAATGTACTTTTCATATGTGATCTTTGTCTTCTGTCTTCCATCCCCTTCGACTTGCGGTACATTACCGTTGGTCTCCTGAGTATCTTCATCCATGGCGTCGTCTGCATCATCATCCGCGGCTGGGGCAGGAATTTCTTCTTCGTCGTCATCAACCTCAACATCATCCTTCTCCACACTGATAATACTCTGCCTCAAAAGATTGAAAGCTTCAACCACCATAGGCTCAGTGATCTCGTCAACACAATTCGCCTTCGCAATAGCCTCACTTAATCGAATCATACTCTCCAATTGTCTGACAGTAATCCGATAACTGTTTTTACCAACACCTCCCTGTGCATCATCAATTCTTAATTCCTTGTATTTTTGAACCAGCAATTCTTTAGCCTCATCCGTAAACTCTGGCTTGAAGGTCTTGGCAAAACGGATGTAACGCTGAAGTTGTTCGGTCGTGAATTCAGGTTGTACTGCTTCGTCGCGAAGTTGATGAATCGCTACAATATGCTCTGCTAGATGGCGATCCACTGTCTCGTTGCACTCATCCAAAATAACAAAAAACAGATCGAAACGCGACATAATAGGAGCACTCATGTTAATGTTGGCTCTCAATGTCGTTTTCCTGTTATATCTTCCACCTACTGGATTGGCAGCCGCGAGAATCGACGTTCGAGCATTGAGAGTAGCTTGGATACCTGCTTTGGCGATAGAGATGGTTTGTTGTTCCATAGCTTCGTGAATGGCGACTTGATCACCGATATCCATCTTATCGAACTCATCGATGGCACAAATGCCATTATCTGCTAACATGAGCGCTCCAGCTTCGATGGTAAATTCTCCAGTTTCCTCATCTTTCACAACAGCAGCTGTCAGACCTGCAGCCGAGGAAGCCTTTCCAGATGTGTAAACGGCTCGGGGAAGGAAAGAACAGATATATTTGAGAAATTGAGACTTCGAGGTTGAAGGGTCACCAACTATGCAGATGTTGATATCACCCCTAAGTTGCATTCCTTCCGGGGTAACTTTGGAAACACCGGACATGAGTTGAAGAAGAAGACCTTTTTTGACAATCTCGTGACCGTAGACCATAGGGGCGAGAGAATTGACGAGACGTGAGTAAATATGATCGGAATGGACCATATTTTTGAGATCTTCAATTTCAGCATCTGTCATGGATGCGAGAACAGCTTCTTGAGCGTGATCTCCAGGTTCGTTGGGATCGATAGGGGCAGTTTGATTGAGTGATGCGAGAATGTTATTGGATTGCCCGTTGAGTTGTTGGTTTGCTGCTGCTCCTTGTGTAGATGTATCAGGTGTCACCATACATGACAAGAAAGCAAGTCTGTAGGTAAGATCTCTGACACCGAGGGCTTTCAATCCAGTAACACCACTTGCGTCCCCACTTCTATTCTGTGTATCTCTAATGGCCATTGGTCGAACCCCAGGTAAACCAAGTTGACTGACATCAGGAACAACAATGAGAGCTCCTGTAAAGATACACTTCTCTCCAGCTTTGGCGCGATCGACGATCTCTCCACGAAGAATAACATCCATGGTTCTTGGCATACTTCCCGTAGGTATTTCTGAACTATTCTCCTGCACACGGACTTTCTGCCAATCCACAAATGTACTCTGTCGGATGTCTAATCTCCATGCTTGACGATTGTTACACTCTAAATTGGGGCATTGTGTAGGTTCGGTATATCTGAAAGTTTGTTCGACATTTGGTACAATGTTCTTACAGTTTTCGCATGTGAAAGTGGCCAGGGAAAGTTCAGGTCGAACTTCCGAAGTTCTTGTGACAGTACCAGAAATCGAAAGAAGTTGTCCAATGTTCGCAGTTCTCAAATGTCGAACTCGAGTAACCAGAGGTAAATTATAGAAAGCTAGCGCAAATAATTTGTCCGTCTGTTGATTTGTGGTTTTGTCTCCTTGAAAGTCGGATTGACTTGCAGATGCAGCATTACTCGCTCCAGATGAAGTTTGATTGCTTGATGCGGTAGGTTGACGATGATCTCTGAAGTATCTTGGTTCGTGTTTGGCGATCATGTTATGTAAAGCTTTCGTAAGGAATGGTAGGAATCTATAGTATTCTTGAACAATACCCTCTGCCAATGCGCCACCTTTGTATGAGGAGAGATGTGTGTAGTCGACATAGAGGGTAGACAGTTGATATGTCCTCAGTCCATGAATTTGGGCAATATAGTATTTATCCGTGGTCATCGCAGACGAAGGAGGTGCGCCAGACATTATTGGATCTTCGATAAATCTGTAAAAACGTTAGATGTGTAACAGTTAAATAAGGACAAAACTCACGACTCCAGGAATTCCTCAAAGGTAAGCTGAACGTATTGTCCAATCGCATCCTCCACTCTTGGAATTGGTCTATCACTCTTCCTCGGACGATTGGTATTTTGTGGAACAGCATCATCTGCAAACCCTTCATCATCACTCTTAGCACCAGCGCTTTCGGATGGAGGACCTCGAGGTCTACCGGATACTGAAGAACCCCTAGGTCCACGTGCCCTAGGTGTTCCAGCTCTTGAAGAGTTACCAAAGTCGGGCGTTGGAGCATCAGACATCATTACGGACGCCATATTGTATTATTGTTGAAGAAATCGTGGGTATCTGGTGTTATGGCAATGATGTTGTTGTTTACTTTAGTGAGGGGCATAAATTCAGGAGTCCTCAAAAATTCCACATCGCGTTGCCAAAACACGTAAATTACCATTTTGGCGCGAATTGGTCACCGTAATAGATTGATTTCCATGAGTAGATAGACTGACTTCCTGTCTATTCTCGGATGAAAACAAAATAAACAATAGCCCACAGCTACCAACATAATTTGTGTCTAGCTAATAGTTCTCAAAATTGGCTTCCCTGTGAAGATAACTTGCTGGATTCATTACTCAACCTCACTGACATAAATCTAACTAACTGACTAACTAACTAACTAACTAACTAACATTACGTCATCAGACTTTACTTTTCCCTTCTTCTCAAAGGCAATTATTACCTACCGGTACTTCGATATCTAACCTACAACCCCACAACATACACATTGAGGTTTCGAAGATATGAGACTGATCTCAATGAATATACAGAATATAAATTTTAAAACAAAAACCAACATTGATAGATTTCCTACACTTCAAAGGCACCATCTTCAGAACCCGACAACGTAACCTCAAGAACAATGCCACCACGATCCTCGAAATCTACAGAGGACTCCCTCCCTTCCCCAGGCCCATTCATTCGCCCTCCACCGTCTCAATATTTTACTTACCGTATTCAACAAGGAGAACAGGGAGTCTTAACCCACGAGCCTTACAAATCCTATCTCCTACCCCTCTGGCGTTTCCGATCTCCTTCGATAGCCGAGAAGTCCTCAGTAGCCTTATACGACGAATTTCTTCGTTTCTGTAAGGAAGATGATTTTGTGGGTATGGATATGAGTAGAAAATTCATACAAATGGGTATGACGCGCTCGAAGCGTTATGCGAATCATAAAGGGGGGCGGAAATATGACATTGGGAAGGACGGTGAGGAGGTGGAGATCGAAAAGAGTCAAGGTCATGAGGGGCAGGAAGATAAACTGATTGCGAGTGGGATTTTCAAAGAGACGTGGGAGAGGTGTAGGAAGCATGAGGGGTATAAAATTTTGAAGGGAAGGTATCAGAAGGAATTGAAAGATTGGATACAGGGTCAAGGTGAAGAAAAGTCGAAAGACAAGAGGGATTATAAAGTAGAAATACAGAAACAAAGCGAAGATACAGAAAATATCAAAGATGAAGAGGGAGAGGAGGATATGAGTAGTAAACCCAGAAAAGGGCACCAGGATGAAATCCATCATAAGCACGAAATTAAGGAGGAGAACACTGAGAACTTGTCCACCAAACCAAGAAAGAAGCAAAAAACAACTAATAATTAAAATCTTTTGTGTAACTCGGTTGTTCTTCGTCTTTCTTGTAGTTTCATTCTTTTATACCGTCTCTTCACTCATCCCTTGAGGAATCGAGTCTTTCTTGTAGTTTCATTCTTCTGTACCATCTCGTTGCTCATCCCTCGAGGAAATCGAGTCACCCTTTAGTCCTATTCCTATCACTCCAACCAACCGTTCAATATCCAAATGCCTTGGACTGATATTCTGCAATCCTCATTCACCAATACCAGTGTGATGTGCCTGATCCGAGGCTGAATCCAACAAATTGACATCCAATACATCATGAATAACGCCATGAAACACCCCCAATTTCCCAATATACGAATAGTTAAGGATCAAGTATTAATCCAAACTTTCGTCCTTCTTGTTGGTTTCGTCATCACAGTCATGAATCTATATTCCAAACAATTAGTATTATTCTCTAGTACCATTTTTCCAATCCAGCCAACTCATTCTTACCATCCTCTCCTTCAACCTCACCTCTCTGCCAGAATCACAAAAAGAGAAGAACCTACTGCACTCGCCCAACCCATCCACTCTTCCATTCCTCTAACGACCATATCTCCACTCGCATCAACCAAGCACTCATGCCCCCAAACCGTCAAGGTATCAAAAGTGCCTTCCTCATCAACTATCTTCGTTTCGATTTCTTTCTCTTCCACTTCGTCTCCATCCTCATCCTCATCCTCTCCTCTTCCCTCCTCTGCACTAGACTCCTGTGGCATAATCTCCTTTCCCACCTTCAACACAACCCCTCTCCATCCTTCCGGAACCTTGACCTTTCTGCCAACCAATCTTCTGCCCCTGAAATATGACACTAATTCTTCTTTCCCTTTCCCATTCTTCGTGAGTCTTGGATCCCAATATCTCTTCTCAACCTTAATTGGCGCGGTATGATTTATGCGACAGGGGATGAGATTTGGAGTGTATTTTTTCGCGGGTTTTGAAGAAGATTGCTTGGATGATGGACGGATTGCGAGCATGATTTCGGTATTTTATCTTCTGGGGTATGTTCTTGAATTGGTTCTCTTTTAATTGATATCTGCTACGTCGGTTTGAGTGAGTTGATTGTCGCAAATTGGAAGAATTATACTTCTAATATGGAGTGAGACGCGATTTGACGCGACTTGACGCGAATGCGGTGAAGGCGATAAAGTACTTGGCGTTTGGACCACTAATTGTTATCCATAGTCATATCCATATCGCATTTCTATCAAATTGAAGGCTTGTCTTCATATTATATGGTAGCTTCGTATTATTTTCGAGAATACTTATATAATATCATCACATCATCATCACTATTCCCATATCGAACCATTCCGGTCGAAACAATCTCATGGATAAGGATAAGTATCTCCCGTTATAATTCCGTTGTCCGTTTTGCAACAATTGATGCTTCACAATATCTGTTCATATAACTACGGAACAACAACCCCCTTCGTTTCTACAGCCAACCTTCTATTACAAGATACAAGATACCTACTACTACTTCGACTAGTAGACATTCCAATTGTTTCAAGTACCGAATACATTCCCGATCCGTAAACGGTCGCTCGGGGCGCTGACAATCGGACGTTTTGAAAACCCATACATACCCTTGTATATTATATAATCCCATACAAATTTCATATTTCCTTCCATGCCAGTGCATTTACAATTTACATCCTTTTTATCTTGTCATCCACTCGATTCAAAGTTATGTTCTTGAGTTAGGAAAATAATTCTCTAAATCGAGAAGTAGTTGATTGATCATTGATGATTGAGAACTGGGGACGGATACGATTAGACAAAGATTACCTAACCTTACCTACATATTTGATACCGAAAGTAGGTAGGTAGTTGATTAGTTGATTAGTTGATTATTTGATTAGTTGATTGTTGATGATGTCAAGACCTTGTTTACAGCAACCGGTACCCCTGCTTCAATCCAATTCCTATTCTAGATGGATCTCTTTCTTTGATAATAATAGCTCTTTTCTCCTTCAGCCTTATATAAATACTATATTCATATTTTTATATTATATACTCGAGTACATACGATATATAGATATATATATATTTCTTCTTCTTCTTCTTCTTTTATACGTTATTCATTGTATACAAGGAGGGAAAATATCACATACAACAACATCGTTACAGACATCCTTTTCAAATATACATAATAATACTTTTATCTTTTCTTCTTCTTCTTTTAAACTCAAGTGTCAAAGTCAAAGTCAAAGACCAAAAGTCCAATTTATTAAAGTCAAAGCACATTACATCTGGCACAGATCTCTCTTAACAAAATACACTAATAGCGGGACCCACCACCACCAAACCCGCATGAGCTATTCACCCCTCCTTAAATCATATACTACCTAGCACTTCTTTCCTATTGGAGCAATATTAAAAGTTTGGTCGTCTTCGGAAAACATCGTCATCCGGGATTTTTATGCTTTGGTCTCTTTTCTGTCTAGAATCCATTCATCCACCCAAACTGTATGTATCGCCTCTCTTTCCCTTCTCTCTCTCTCCACATATTGCATTGTGTTGTCTTATATTGATACTATTACAGTGACAAAGTTACAAGACTAATCTTTCCTTTGCATTTCACTTCCTCTTTTCCTTGCTTTTTAAAAGTGGTTAGAAAAATAACTTGCAATTTGCGCAAATCAAGCTCCATAGCTTTGTGATAGCTTATTGACACACGGCAACTACTCATCTACCTCGCCCAAGTAAATACCTTTATATTCCTTCGCCATCTTATTCTTCCAATTGAACTTTCATACACACCTCTTTCATACGCGCAGGTCGTTAATACTATAATCCGTCAGACTCATAACTTCTCATTCTAATACCCTCAAATACGCCCTCAAATCACAATGTTGGCTTCCTACCTTCCCGATGCCGTGACCGCACCCATCACGAAGAGCGCCGATTATATGAAGAGTACAATTGGTGGTTTGACCTGGGGTCCCGCCGTTTCCGTCTCAAAAGCTGCCGTCACTTCATTGTTCGGACGAATCGAGCGCGGTACACTACTTGTTACTGATGTCGAAACTGGAAAAACAACATGTTATGGGGCGAAGATTGCAAAGGAGTATAAGACCAATGGCGTAAACGGCGTGAATGGACATTATTCCTCAAGGAAAGCTGGTGCTGCAAGAAAGGTAGAATTAAAGGTTGTCGACCAAGCATTTTGGGTCCGCTTATTCCTATTCGCGGACATGGGGTTTGCGGAGGCATATATGTTAGGAGAAGTCGAGTGCGATGATTTGACTGGATTTTTTGAGGTATGCCCTCACTTCCATCTCTATTGCTTTTCCATTCTGAAAAATCTCATGCTAAACTCCCCCTTCATAGCTTTTTATCCAAAATCGGAATCAACTTGCAAATGCCACAACCCTAACCTCGTCCATCGCAGCCACAATTACTGGTCTCGCCCGAAGTACGAATACCCTTTCCAATTCCCTCCTCAACGTCTCAGCGCATTATGATATTTCCAATGAAATGTTCGCAGCATTTCTCTCTGAAGATATGACATATTCATGCCCTATATGGAAATCTGTTTCTAGCGCCTCTTACGACTTCGAAGAGGAAACCCTTGAAGAGGCACAAACGACAAAACTCGATCGATTCATAGATGGGGCACGAATCAAGCCCTCAGATCATGTATTAGAAATTGGGACTGGATGGGGCTCCTTTGCTATCCAAGCTGTTAGACGGACAGGATGTCGTGTGACAAGTTTAACTTTGTCAATTGAACAAAAGGCATTAGCTGAAAAGCGCATTTTTGCAGCGGGTTTCGCGGACAGAATTGAAGTGAAACTTATGGATTATCGGGCACTACCCATTCCAAAGCAGCCCTATGACAAGATTATCTCTATCGAGATGCTCGAAGCTGTTGGTGCGGAATATCTCGAAACATATTTCTCGTGTATTCATCGTTTGTTAAAACCAGATGGAATTGCTGTGTTTCAATGCATCACTATGCCAGAAGGTCGATATGAGGCGTATGCAAAGGGTGAAGATTTTATTAGAAAATACATTTTCCCAGGCGGACACCTTCCATCAATCACTCAATTAATCGATAATATCACGAAAGCCTCGGAGGGAACCTTGGTGGTTGAGAAGGTAGAGAACATTGGAGGTCACTATGCGAAAACGCTGCGTGTATGGAAGGAAAAGTTCTTGATGAATTTCGACTCGAGGATTAGACCGGCGTTGATGGCGGAGCACGAGGGGATGGGTGAGAGGGAGGTAGAGGTGTTTAGAAAGAAGTGGGAGGTACGTATCTTCCCTGCACTGACTATTGCCCCAAGACAATATCCACTAACATGATTGCCAGTATTACTTCACATACTGCGAAGCAGGATTTGCGACAAAGACACTTGGAGATGCAATAATCACGGTTGGTAGAGAAGGAGCATTGGAGTTGATGAATGGTATTCCCCTATAATTTCGAAATTCGGTTCCTATTGTGGGCATTTATCGAGGGCGTTTGGAGTCGATGGATGGAGGTAACGAATCTCTATTTTTCTCAAAACTCGTAGAAAGATTGATACTGCACTAGAGTGGCAGTTTGTTAAACCAAATAGACTCGAGAATATCTTATGGGTAAACCATTGAATAATACATATTAGTGCTGGCTTCCTTACACCTCTCGGTCAAGTTGTACGTGATTCATTCTATTGGTGGCCGGTAAGACCTTCCATTAATTGAAAAGGTGTCGTCCAAATGTAATGCATGTCTTGCTCAACGCCAACTAAACTCCCAATTTCGCCGATGTTCAAAGAAATCCTTCGATCAGATTCTTGTTGAATATTTCACGAGGAACAGTACCTACAATCGCCACCATGATTGCATCGCTTTGGCTCTGAACGACCCCTTAACGCTTCCCCTTCTTCTTCTTCTTTGGCTTAGACTTCGATGATGCGCCCGAGGTCGGAGGATTATGCTTTGCATGCTCTATATCGAAAGCCGATTTGTGTGTTCTAAACAACAGTATGGTTGCTCTTGCATCCTCAATACTGGAATGTTCGCCCCCTTGAATATCCACTCGTAATATCTCCTTTGCCAACTTTTTTAAACTCGGTGTCCTCCCATTACTATATTTCCTAAAGGCTGAAAACTTCGACGTATCGCGGATGTCCCTCTTCGGATGGTTAAGCATCATTGCTTCCAAGTCATTCTTGAGCGCATGTCCCACCAATATCCTCCCCTTTAAAATTTCGGCAACGTCTTTCTGCACGTCGTCGAATTCCCTTGCAGTCGCCATATTCTTCGTCGACACCCCAGACACATGGGTTCTCCAATCCGTAACAAATTCCTTGGGTCGCACGAATGAATCGTATAGTTGTATGCCGTGGAAATTGACAATACTGACTCGGGCCAACACTGATTTATCCTCGTCACCTCCCACACCTACCATTTCACAATCAATACCAATGTATTTCCCTATATCGACATCTGCTGAGAATCCTCCATTGATGTTATCCGCTCGAGCACCTTGGATTGTCGCATCTTTCAAACTTCCTCCATATGCTTCCGCGATATCTTTCGCCGAGATATCATTATCTTCAGCCCAAAGAGCCAAAGAAGAAGGTGCAGTTTTTGGAAGTGGTGTATCTGCTTCTGAAGATTCCAAAACAGTCGAGCTTCCCATTATACCCATCGTCTTGTTCTTTGTTGCTCCCTTTGCGTCAGCGATTGGTCGAGATTTGGCTGTGTTTCCTTCCAGCCTTCTACGCTTTGCGATACTATCTTTCGTTCTTTCTGAAGGTTCTGCCGCTTTTCTTTTTTGGGCATCCGTTTCTGGTTTTGTATTTTTCTTCAATGCGGCTTGTAGGTTTTTCCAATTACTGGATAAGATAGGTGCCATGTTTTTTTTTGCTTTACATGTTCTACTCGAGTATTGTTGTTGTTGATGTAATTGTAAAAATCAAATCTTATCTTGAGGATTGGGTTTTCCACCAAAAAAATAGGCGGATAAGGCTGGGCTCTATCGGTTTATGCAACGCTAAATCCATAATTTTGAGCCAATACCACAGCCTCGTCTACCTCGATAACAACTTCAATGATATTGAACGACAAATTTACGAAATCAATCAAAATCAATCAAAATCAATCATAATCAATTCATATCCATCGGAATAATAATAAAATTCATCATGACGGGTTCATCGCAAGATAAGGATAATTCTGTAGGAACACCGATAGCTAAGCAGAAGAGTAAAGCGACTATTGATACTTTGAGGTGAGTTGTCGCATTTTTACGGTCGCAAAATTGGTGGTGCTAATTAATGCCTGTAGGGCAGGATGTATAGCTATGGTACAGAAGGTTAGTAACCCCCTCATATGTATTTGTATTTGTGTTTGTTTTTCACAATATCAACACCAATATATTTCTTAATATATTTCTCTTTGAACTTCCTTCCCCTTTATCTTGATGTCTTTTTCATACAAAAACCACTTGCTCTATCTTTATCTTTATACTAATTTCTTCTCAGGATGGTGCACTTAGAAGAGCAGAAATTCTAAGTATAAAAGAGACGAAAAGTGGTCGTCAATTTTACTGCAATTTTGACAATTTCAATAAACGTCTAGATGAATGGGTTCCAGCCATTCGAATAGACTTCACTCAAGATGTTGAATGGCCTGCCCCGGATAAACCAAAGGAGAAATCTAAAGCTGCTCCAGCTGCGAAAAAGACTACCGCTGCTAATAAAAAGAATCAAAAACGAGGAGTTCCAGCCAGCAAAAGAGAAGATTCGGTAGTTTCAGAATCCGGTTCAAATGCTCAACCATGGTCAGAGTTTGCAGAGTCTCAGAGAGAGACTCCAGATGCTGATGGAGATGGAGATTCAAAACTTACTATGGCATTAGATCTTGATGCTACTCCTGAAGCTAATGATGCCATGGATGTCGATGAAGCCGCAGCTGAAGCAGCGGATGCGAAAAACGAACCTGCTCAACACTTCAGTCGAGAAGAAGAAATCGAGAAACTACGAACTGGAGGTTCCATGACTCAAAATCAAGCCGAAATATCACGTATTCGTAATATCTCCAAAGTACAATTCGGTAAATTCGACCTCTACCCCTGGTATTTCTCCCCTTACCCGGAAATCTTCACTCAAGAGGATCTCATGTACATTTGTGAATTCTGTTTATGCTATTACGGAGACCTCAAATCGTTTACTCGTCATCGTCACAAGTGTACATTACAACATCCTCCCGGGAATGAAATCTATCGGGATGACTACGTCTCCTTTTTCGAAATCGATGGTCGCCGTCAACGAACTTGGTGTCGAAACTTGTGTCTCATATCCAAAATGTTTCTCGATCACAAAACTCTCTATTACGATGTGGATCCTTTCTTATTCTATGTCATGTGCTCACGAGATGAAAAGGGGTTTCATTTAGTGGGTTATTTTTCAAAAGAGAAGGAAAGCGCCGATGGATACAACGTAGCTTGTATTCTAACACTTCCACAATATCAACGTAAAGGTTATGGTCGCCTCCTCATCAATTTCTCCTATGAGCTCTCCAAGATTGAAGGGAAGCTTGGTTCACCCGAAAAGCCCCTGTCTGATCTTGGTCTCCTCTCATATCGACAATATTGGACGGAACGCATCGTCGAGGAACTTTTACTTCACAATGAAAAAGAAGAAAGGATCAGTATAGAAGGGTTATCACAAAAGCTCAATATGACCAGCGCGGATGTAGAACACACATTGCAGGCGCTAAAGATGCAAGTTTACCACAAGGGGGAACATAAGATGGTTTTACCGATGGCACTGATCAAGAGACATGAAGCGATGAGAGAAAAGCAAAAGTTGAAGCCGAAGAGGGTGATTGATCCTTCGAGGATTGTTTGGAAACCATTCAAGTTGGTGGACAGAACGTGGGGCTGGTAGATTCGATGGGGTATCATGATATGGACTTGGTGAAGGAAGGTCCTTGCTATAGGGGACTGGCGTTGAAACTTCACGATATCGATATAGCCTTTTTAGCAAGCGATTATTGGAATATAATTAATACACTCATGAACAAAAATATGAGCTTTGGCAATATCTTCAAAGAGGCATTGGAGACATGTGCGCATTCTCTTCAACTCAATGTCTTCGAACACTCTACTGTAGGTAGTTCACTACGAAACACATTGCTGATACCCTCGGTTCTCGGTAAAAGTATTCTCCTCGGAATCCTCAAAATTCAAATGCTCCAATCTATGGATCATATCCAAGTTTGCACAGCAGTAGACATTTACCAAAATTGACATGAGGGTCCAATGAATTGAAGGATTCATTTTATAAAGTGTTGTGGACCATTACCTAGGTATGTTTAATGAGCAAACTCTATTTACAATTTTATTTTGACCATGAGATGAATTTTGATTTGATGATTGGTACGAGCCTACGAGTTTAATGTAGGTTTTTGAAGAATTGGAAGGATTATGCTGAAAATTCGATAGATGATCGGTGGTGGTGTACAATGGAGGGCTAATGCAAGTCTGCGAGGATGGAGAATGGAGAATCGACAGGATTGATGATTTGATATTACAGTACAGTAACATTTTCACTCTCATTGTCGTTCAGGAGATGGGATAGTTTGGATGCAAAAAGAGCAACAGGACGTTGACGTATCAGAAATTGTGCAATTCTTAATTGCGATTGAAAATCATCTACAAGAAAATATCTGTATCTTCTTTGGCGGTCTACCCATCCCATTATCTTCTACCTCTCTATCTTTAACTTCCCTCCGATTCCATGCTTGTCTGAACTCCTTCTTTTGTAGTTTACTCGATATCGCAGGTATCATCATCTTCTCCACCACCGTATCCAGCAGAAACAGTGGAGGTAGATTGAGGAGCCACAGTCAAACTTTTCTTTTCGGATTTCGTGGCGGAAGTGTGAGTGTGGGCTGGAGCCGATGTGGAGATACCTGCTACAGAGGAAACCTTGGAAGAAGAAGCTGAAGTTGGTGCAACGACAGCTGAAGATGTTAGGACGACGACGGCGGAGGTTGGTGCTATGAGAGCGGATGAAGAGCTGGCTGGATTTGGGATCACAACGGCGCTGCTTGAGCTAGAGCTGACAATATTGACAACAGCAGAAGAATATGTAGCTACCGGGCTAGCGGAAGCACTTCCCGATACATCTGGAGCAGGCATGCTTGTATCATCTGCTCTCTTGCATCCAGTGCTCTTAGTCAATGCTGCTGGGCATTCAACCTGTTTGAAATCGACAGTAGGGTTATCGGCACTCTCGAACCATGCGAATCTGAAGTCACAACCTGGTTGGAGAGCAGCGGGGAAGGTTGCGCAAGAGGATTCTGCAGCGACACCACCGTATTGTGCACCCCATCCTGAGGAAGGAACACCAAATTCGGTGGTACAACCGTTGAAGATTCCTACACCGCCTCCGGGAATTGCGATATCGAACTGATTGGATCCGAGATCACCACCGATGTTACTGTATTCGGGATAATGTCAGAGAACCGATTCTACAGAGGGAAGATGTGATATGAATAGGAAATTGGTTGAACTTACGTGGCCTGAACAATCATCTTCTTGCCAGCAAGAGCAGTGCTGGTGAAAGTCAATTCGTAGCATGCGCAACACCAAGAAGATTCACTTCCACCAGCGATATTGACGGCTGCGTAACCGTAGGCGAGATCATCAGTAACGGCCCAAGGAGATTGATCCGAGCACATGTAGGAAGTTCCACCGGAGCATCCCGAAACAGCAATGGCGGTAGGGTCGGAGAGAGGAGAGTCATTCACGTCGCAGGTTCCAACAGGTCCCGAGCCAGATTCGAGAGTAGCTTTGCCATCCCATGCACAAGAAGGCTTGCAGCAATCCCAATAGCGGGTGGTGGTACCAGAGCCTGTAGCTTGAGCACTAACTTGAAGGAAGAAGGGAAGGAGAGCGATGAGAGTCTTCATTGGGAGCTGCATTTTGAAATTGGTTGAGAGATTGAGATGGTGGATATAAGAGTTTTAGGCTTAAATTGGTCTCGGACCGGATATTTGATGTTCAGACAAAAATATGTACTTAAAAAGAGCGAATAAACTCGACTTGGAGTTGTATATAAAAGGCGAAAGCTTTCGAAAAGAGCATGATATTTAGAAATGAATGTGAGGAGCAAAGATGCGTGAGGGAAAAAGAAAGGGAACGCTCACGATGGAGAGAGTGTGCCTGCCTTATAAACATATACCCATACCCCATTGTAACTATCTAGAAGCCCTTTCCAATTAATCTATTCATCTATTTGTTTGTATATTGGAAACAGTGGCGTATTAAAGGAACGGTAAGCGACCTGTTAGACTGCTACTGCAAATAAAAAGCCTTTAGTATGACGGCCAAATCGGCATACCCCTGATTCTAATCCTTGATGACAAGCAGGGAATTAAACGATCGTTGAATCGGTTCATTCGGATATGATGATGTCTTTAATTTACCCGACCCAGTAATATTTAAGTATATATTTGAGGATTGGGTCCCTCCTTAATTCATCTCACCGTTGGTACCTGCATATAAATTTCCAAACTGACTGTGCCACCAATCAAGTGTTTTTGGAAATTGAATCATGCCCCGATAGATCAACTAAGATGTGTAGTACAGTAGGGGGGGGATGGGATCAATTGACTGCTGTCTAGACGCCAAAAGTTTCCTGCAGAGTAGAAGAAGGGTAAAATGGGAGATTGAAATTGGGTTGTGTATTCTGTGTTGTTGTTTTTGTAATATAGACATTGATGAATTCATGATTATCCATATTGATTAAGCGCTTCTTCATTGTAAACACTTGATTCAAGAAGAAAGATACAACAAATTGAGGGAACGAAAGATTATGATTCAAGATACAGTCGTTGCTCTAGAATGTAGATGATTTTCTGGCAGGGTTCGTTTGGTGAATCTTTCCTGGCTCACGATATCTAATAAGAAACGGTATATTAGAGTCAGCCTTGAAGTGATCAACCCATAGTGATCAACCCATCCTTGAATGGATCTAGATCCTGGGTGTCATTGTTTTAATTACTTAAAGTCTGTTAGACTGCTAGTAAGTAATGAATACGGATGATTTCAATTAGCAATATGGTCTGCACTAGCATATATAATACTCCTATAAATGCAAAGACAAGTACACTGGTACTGTATTCGTACTCGAGTAACTAAATAAGTCCGTTAGATATCCGACATCCGACATCCGTTTATCCGTTATCCGTTATCCGTTATCTGTCATCTTGTTATCTCTACTCGTATTTTAGAATCTTTTCATTCGCTAATTCTTCTCGATTCTGGGGTAAATATGGATCTGATGATAGCGATAGCATTAGCCATAATTATTGGATAATTGGCGATGGCTCGCGTGCTTTTTATCTTTTATACAAGTAGTAGTGGGGTAAGTGGTGTGAGCTTTAACTCGTAGTTAACATCAGGAATCAACTCTCTTCCTAACTTATTCTACCTCAACCTCAGATCAAACTCTACAGAATAATACTGTAACAAAATAAAAATTATAAGGAAAGCAGACAAGCAAGCAAGCAAAATGGGACCACCAGCACGAGTCTTTTTCTCGTATGTCCATCTCTCCATTCATTCCTTCTCTACCTCCCTGTGCTCGATTTTTGGCTTCATAATCTCCTCGAGTGCTACAACTATACACCTATACTAACTTCATATTCGCAGACGTCAAAGATTGATTCTCGGCACCTTCCTCGGTGGTGGAGCTCTTTTCATTGGTATGAAGTGGAAAGCCGTCTTGCAAAGAAGTGAGGCTGCGAAGATTGCTAGTTCAAAAAAGAATTTCGCTGTTGCTGCTGGAAGAAGTGGTAAGGTTTTATAGTACACCAAGCTTGATCATGGGTTGCTAATTGGCGGTGAAGGTGGTGGAATTTGAACATCTAAATGGACTCCATTGGCACTGGTGACTGCTATACTATAAATTGAGACGAATTTAGCATACAGAGGATAAATTGGACTCGGCATGGCAAATATGATAGATGATGGACATACTTATACAGATGACTGCATACGCAAGTGTGCATTGGACTTACGATAAACAAAGGAGCATGATCAAGGGCGGCGTTTGGGAATCGTTTTAGTGGTAGGGGAGGAACCATGCAGAGATAATTCGTATGAGATGATAAAATCACTTCGTTGCTTTCATATTTTATTCATGGCTAAATGCTGATACAGATAGAGACTCTGACCCTTCTTGAATGCCGGTTTTTCATATGTCTCCTCCAAAGGTCTTCTACCAAGGAATCCACCCAAACACAATATTCCGAAGAAAAATTTCTGGTCGCCAGAAATTGAATTTCGGTCTGAAATTAACTTTACGAAGTCTTAACATTATCAATATTACACACTGCTCCCTACAAGCCAATATAACACCCCTTATAGCACCACCAGAAGTTATCGACCTGAAAAACGCAGATTACACTAATCTACAAGACCCAGAAACACCCTCAAATTTACGAAACTGCTTTAAAAGAAAACAGCGCACCTTTATTAACGAGATATCACTAGTCTTCAAATTGGGAAATAAAACAAACAACAAATCAACTAACTTAGCGATAAAGGCTTTTAAGGCCAAACTTGCTGAATACGAATATATAGAGAGATTACAATGGAAGATTATAATTAGTTTGGTGAATACAATCGATAGATATATTGACTTCTTCGCTACAAGGGACAAATGAACAGCAATCAGGAAACTGAGCAGCAGAATCATAGAAATCCTTATACTCATTATCAACAATAGATTTAACCCATTATCAAACCCAACATTCATATCACCAACAACAAAAAACACAACCTTTACAAAAACACAGGTCACCAAAACCTATACAGAAATCCTCAAAACCCCCAAAACAAACTAAAACAGGACAGGCCAAGTAAACCTACCCATATTTCAAGAAACTCTACCAAAAGCTCTATTTAACAATACATAATCCAAATATCGAGTAATATAAACTGCCCGGAGTATAGACCACAGGCTACTAATAGCTATCAGCCCTGCAATTCGGATCAACTGCCTAGCTCTGTTTGTACTAAGAAGCGTTCTCGTTGGTGTAATTATAAATCTATTATTAACTAATATCCCCATTATATCTGTCATTAAGATAGGATAGGCTATTACACCAAAAAACCTGACAATATACGAATTACTCTTTATACAGGAGAACAAAGAAATCATTCTTAGAATCAACAAAGGAATACAAATATATTAATTAGTAATATAATACAACTATACAGTCTTCAGAGTCCTGGTATTGATTTGTATATTGGATGGACTCTCAACCGATATAGCGAATCATATAGAAACAGAAGTATAAGCACAAACAGACTAATCCCTAGTCAACTACAGACTCTTCTGATACAGAGTTAATCTCCACAATAATATAATTATATAGGTAATATCCTTTCTCAAACTAATACATAGTTTTAGGCTTTTCAATATTAGCGAATTGATACAAGAGATCAAAGCGAAACCCATTATAACCTGATATAATACCGATTGCCAAGGCTGGTATAACCCAGCGAGATATACTAAACTCATTTGTTACACAAATTGTGGTGTCTGAAAGGATATATATAAGGGACTACAAAGGTTCAATTATATAGCGAAAACGTAGTATACTAACTGTTTCAGATCCTTCGCAGCAGAACATCAGAATTGCCCAGTAGTATTTAAGGTGATGAATAGTAGAGTCACAGTATTTACCAAACCACAATTCAAAGCTATACAAAAATCAGTATTAACAATAGAAATAGTAATACTTGTTAAC